CTTCTATAGTAAAATTGGTACAATGGAAGAAAAGCAAAGTTGGCATTTACTCAGCACACACTCACTTCATTTTAATTCTCCTTTAGTTTTCACTTTTACTCTGTAAGATAGATGCTCCATACACCAGTTGTTAATTACATTTTATAACTGTTAGGAACACTGTCAACTAAATTGCAGAAGTGAAATAACAATGAAAAATTTATGCTGAATTATAGCTCTAAAGAGTAAGGTCAAGAATCATAGAAATGTTTTATATACAATAGTCATATTCTATAATATCATCTGTTTTGGTAAATTATATTCTTACTCAATATTAATTGCTTATTGATTAGAAATGTGGAAGTTAGTTACATACACACCTGTCTAACTAGGAATCGTAACTTGAAACTTGTCTTATTATTACAAAATATTATATTTTTTAAAGAAACAACTTACCTTTTCACAAGGGAATGGGCAATCTGAATTTGGAAAATGTTTTGAAACTGCTGACTACTGAATAGGAGCACTGAGTGAATAAGGAGTCTTATCTATAAATCTAGCCAAACTGTTCCCGTAGTTTTCAACCTGATTTTGCAGTACAGCTGTAAAAATACACTCTCTAAAGAACAGACTTGTGGCTGCCAAGGTTGGGGAGAGGTAGGGGAGAGTTGGATTGCGAGTTTGGGATTATCAGATGCAAACTGTTGTATACAGAATGGATAAACAACAAGGTCCTACTGTACGGCACAGAGAAATATATTCCTTTTCCTATAATAAACCATTAATGGAAAAGAATAAAGAATGTGTGTATATTTATATACACACATAACTGAATCACTTTGCTGTACAGAAGAAGTTAACACATTGAAGATAAAATATACTTCAATAAAAAAATACACTCTCTACTACAGCCTTACTATTAATGGTGCCTATGACTGATGAACTTAACAACTGTGAGTTGGCATTATGTAGAGAAAATGCAGACATGTATTTCTGATATCTTTTTGTTTATCTATTTTAAGTTTATAATTGGGTTATTTGAGTAAGACATTGCTATTTAACTTTTGTTTGCAAGTTTATGCGGCAGGTGCACCAAATAACTTTTGTTAGAATGGTGGTTGTCAGGGCCTGGGAAGGGGAAGAAATGAGACAAAGGATACAAACTTTCAGTTTTGGAAGAGTAAGTTCTAAGGGTCTAATGTTCAACACAGTGACCCTAGTTAATAAAATGGTACTGTATACTTGAGAGCTGCTGAGAGTAGATTTGAAGTATTCTTACTACAAGGAAAAAAAGTTAACTATGAGAGATGATGAATGTGTTAATTATCTTGATCTTGGTAATCAGTGATGTACAAAGCATCAGGCTGTACACTTAAAGAATTTTATTTTTGGCAGCACTGGGTCTTCCTTGCTCATGTGGACTTTCTCCAGTGGCAGTGGGTAGACTTATTGTGGTGGCTTCTCTTTTTGCAGAGTACAGGCTCTAGGCGCGTACTGGCTAGCTAGGCTGAGTTGCTCTGTGGCATGTGGAATCATCTTGGACCAGTGATCCAACCTGTGTCCCCTTCACAGGCAGGCAGATTCCTAACCACTAGAGGGAAGCTCCTATTTTAAAATATTTTTTAATAAATTAGCCCTTTGCTGTATATGCTATAAATATTTCCCCAAGTTGCCCTCAAAATGTTTTGTTGTTGTTGAGGTATAGTTGATGTACAATATTATGTAAGTTTCTGCTGTACAACATAGTGATTCACAACTTTCCATAGTTTTTTTCGGCCACACCACACAGCATGAGGAACTTCCCCAACCAGGGATCAAACCTGTGCCTCTTGCAGTGGAAGCACAAGCCTCAACCACTAGACTACCAGGGAAGTCCCATGTTGTATACTTTAAATATACACAATCAGATTTGTCTATTGTTCTTCAATAAAGCTGAAAAAATGAAAACTAAATTTCAAAACAGACTTTGTAGAGTTGTATGTTTATTCACAGATATATTACATACTATAGTTTTTTTAAAAATTATGAATATTTATAGGAAAATACCTTCAGATTCACATCCCTGAATTTCATGTTCTGTTTCCAAGGCATTACATAACTTCTTGGGATCATCCCTTGCTTTAAGGAAAACCGTGGCAAATGAATCTCACAACACCTGAAGATTAAGAAAGCAAGAGTAGCTCGTGAACTAAATACAATTGCTTTAGCATCATTTGAGGGAACGGAAGCAGTTGTGTCTGAGGTTTGGACCCCTGCAGCTTGCAGGACAGAGTAGTCACTGCTTTGAGACTCACCTATTAATAGTAGATAACCGACCCATTAAATCCCCAAGTGTCACCAAGAGTCCACTCTGGATATCATTACTCTAACTGCATGCTGTCCTTTACAACTCACTCATGTTCATTTTGGCGTTATTTTAAGGGGAAAATACAGCACACCATGATTTCGCTCAGGCCTATGCACTGGCTAAAGGAATCTGGCCAGTCACAAAAATCAGTAATTTAGCTTCAGAATTTAGTACATGCTCTACACTCAGGACAGTCTTGCTTTCTCTAGCACACACAGTTTTGTTCTGGAACATAAAGTTTTCTATATAGATACCAAGGGGAAGCACAGAATTGGCGTCCCCATGAATGTAACTCCCAGACTGAAAACAAACAAAACCCCCGGAAAACCCCAAACCCTTAAATCCTCACTTATTAGCAGGCTTATCTGAATTCTCATCACAACAGTTGTTGGGGAGTTTAGGTAAGATCGGACAAGTGTCTTTGCCTGAAGCCATCACTGCCTGTAGTGACAGGAATTCTCATCTAGAACTTCACTAGTCTACTAATTATGATGGCAGTGCTGCCTCACATGTAACAATGTTTTGCTAACTTCATAGCAACCTGTAGTAATTGCTTCAGCAGTTAATTAAGAATGTGGGACTTAGAGCCATTTCCAGTGTTTTTTAAATACTCCTTGAGTACACCATCATTCTTATCATGAGAACTTAAAAAATAAGCATGTTTGCAGACATGCTACAACTTTGACAAAGATACTAGGAAATATAGTGGATTAAGCAATTATTACGCACAATCACTTCATATTTTCCTCTTTATAGACTGCACATAGCTGATATGTCCCATTCCTGTTTCGCCATTATTTAGACACCTGTGAGTGTAAATCAAACTTGCCTTAACTCAAGCCAATCCAACCCATTTTATCTCCTAGGTTTTTAATTGAATCACAGAGTATTTTAGGTAAAAAAAACTCATTCTAATAAAGGTTATGAGTGAGGATGAGCACCTAAATTACTAAGCCAGAGACACAGAGGGCTATTGATGTTAATCCTACTAGCCAGCAAGGAGAAGAATGTTAGGCTGAGCAAGAAGAATGACTGTAATGTATGCTGGTATGATGACAGTATTAAGGGAATACATTTCTGGCAAGAGTTTGGAAAGACATTCCTAGATCTGGATAATTAGAAAGGTTTAGAGAAGAGTAATGTTAATAACAAAACCTTAAACCTTAAAAACTGAAACACTGGTTTCTATACACCTTAGGATGTAATACAATCCAGAAATCTGTGTAGTTTGCAAATGTTAAGAAAATAATGAAAACAAGCTAGGAAGTGGGTGGGGGAGAAATGAGCAATCCACTAAAGATGAAGTAGCCTGAGACATTAATATCCTTCAAAAACTGTAACTTACACTAGAAAAATCAGTAATATTTACAAGGATACACGACATTTAGATTTCTGAGTGTTATCTTACCTAATATACCAAACCTTTAAAATCACCTCACATAAAGCAATCCCAGGAACTGTGGTGATCATTTTATAATATATAAAAATACTGAACTACTATGCTATACACCTGAAATTAATGTAATACTGTAAGTCAATTATACTTCAATTATAAAAAAATTCTTCAATAAGTAAAAGGTTAAAAAAACTTTAGGGACAATATTTAAATACTTACCTATTTAAAATGCTTCTTTCCTTGGTTATGGCAATTTTATGAAAGAAAATTTGAGATTATAAAATAAAATCACTCGAAACTCATTGACGTCCAGAATTCTAATTTTATTTCTGCATTCTTTATGAATAAAATGTAACCAATAACCATTTTCCTCTTCCTTCCCTGCTTAGATCCAACTTCAATGATTAAGTGTTTCAAAAATTGCTGAAAGACTTCAAGTACATTATTGCGAAGAATAGATATAACTGCTTCCTACATATTTTTGCTTACTCTGTAAACTGTAGTCAACTCTTGGGACACCTTAAGTAAACTAGCTTTATTTTCTTAAATAAAAATGAATAATTTTAAACATCATGCAGAAGAAACATTTTTAATACGTAACTTCCTTAACATAAGGTAAAACTGTCTTAGGCAGGCCACCACTGGGAATTTTTTAAATGTCATTGCAATTATGCACATATGGATTATATTTAGTATTTAAATACATGACCAAAGTAACTAATAAGTCAAAAACAAAGTTAAAGTTATGAAACAATACTTCTTTGAAGAGTCTGATGTTTATTTACTTCCGAACAAACACATAAGTGGGAAGAGCCACTAGTATAAACCTATTTTTAGTTTCTATCATTAAAAGCCTAAGAGTTCTTAAAACATAGAAAAACTAAATTTGAATGCATTTGTAATAGTTTAACAATTTATGTCTTAATAGGATCTTTTAATGGAATGTTTTGAAACTAATCATATTTCATTGTAAAGATAAATCAGAAAAACTTTTAAACAGCTCGTTAAAATGACCTGGACAAAATTGATGATCAACTAGTAATAATTAGCACATGCAACAGATTAAGAAATTAAATCTTCCACTATATACTTTTAAATATTTTGTCAGACATGAGAAAGTTTTAAATGTTATCACATTCATCTCCCACATATTCAATTTTATTTAAAACAAAGTAACAATTCTCTCCAGATTTTTGTGTTTATCAGTGCAAAGTAAATAATCTCAGTAGAAATGTTTATTACAATGTTATCTTAGAAAGGTTTATTTCTCAAAATGTACTAAAACATGTCCAAGTCGTTAGAATGATCAACCTCAATGGCTTCCTCTGCATCCAACTTTGTTTCTCCATGTCCTTCCTGTGATTCATCAAGAGAGGCCAGGGCCTCATTAGTGTCACTTGCAAAAGTCTCTCGTGATGTATCATCATCTTCTTGAAAATTTAGGTTTTTAATGGCTTGTTTCATCTTTTTCCCCATCACTTGCATTCTTCTCTTTCTAGCAGCTTTTTTATTTTCATATTCCTTTTGATTTTCAAAGTAGAAAATGTCCTACAATAAAGGAACAACTTTAGTAAACAAGAACTATTATTTATTAAAACTACCGTATCCTTAAACCCTATTATGTTGCCTTCACAACAGTGTGAAAATTCACAATTTTTTCAAGCGTCTACTTACCTGTAAGTGGAGCATAGTAGCAGTATTTTCATTTTATATGAAAACACATCCAAACATCTTGATAAAAACAATTCTAACTAGTACAATGCCTGGCAATACTAAATTAAATTATGAAGTTCCCCCTTTCCCTCCAAATTACAGCAAACTTTATTAATGAGGAAATGTCATTCCCATGGGTTATATATTTAAATAAAAGAAACCAGGGAATGGCCTAAAGAAATGTCTTTTTATCATATTGTTAATGTGTTACAACAAATGCAGACAATAGATAACCTGAGAGAAATTTTTCTTCTCCCACCCATAAGAACCTAGTGCATACTACTTTCAGAGGGAGATCGTTATAGCTGGACTTTAAAAAAATATAGCAAAGTAACCTCGAACTATTCTTACTCTTTTTATCTTCACAAACTTTGTATTCTCTAGAAGAAAAATTATAAGGCCACATACTAAAATAAAATCAAGTGAGAAAAAGTTGAAAACAAGCCCACTCAGTTCAGTTCTGGCTTCCAAATTCTACAGACTGTGATTCTTAACAATAGAGTGACTAAAAGAAAAACTATAACACCATTATTTGGATGAAATATGAAATTACCTGCAATAAAATTATATCTACTTTCTGATTTTCCTTTCTAGTAACAAAGGTAGTCAGTCCATATACAACAGAAATTTTGGAAAAAACAGAAAACAAAAAAAATCTTAAAGCCAAAACATTTCTAACCCCTCACAATAGACCAAAGCACTGGTAACATTTTGGTGTTTTAACTACCAATCTATTGTCCCATGACTCTTTTTCTTTAAAAATCTGTACTCTGCTTCTAAGCTATTATTTTCTAATTTTCTTAGAATTGCTTCATAAAAATAGAGGCTACACAATAGCTGTTTTAAGAATGTCCTTATAAGTCAACATTCCCCTATTATTGGATACTATTAAAAATGTTTCCACTGTTTATTATAATGCAATGTTTCTGACAGTTTAAGATAAAAATTTACAAACAGTAAATTCCCTTCACAATGAGTTAGAAGAACTGAATTTCAAAGACAGGTGATTCAGTGAAAACAACCTGGGTCTGAAGGCAGAGTTCTGTGTGATTTCAGACCTATCCTTTTCTTGCTTTCATCTGCAGAGCAGGGTGACATCCAATGACAGGCTGTCAAGAGTTAAGTCCTGTAAAGATTGGCCTTAGGGCGAGGCTCATGGTGAATAAATGTTCCTTTCTTCTCTCCTGTTTCTGGAAATTGCTTGTCCAGATTTAGTTACCAAGAAAAAGCTTTTTTAGACATCATTTTATTTAACTCTTTTATAGTAATATTAAACAGGCAGGGCACATATTAAAGTCCTCACTTTATAGATGAAAAAATTAAGGCTGGGGGAGACAGTAAGCAATCTTCTCAGAGTCTACAATCGCTAAATGGCAAAATTAAGATTAAAACCTAGACTTTGAATCTTAGAGAATCCTTTTCATCACATCATACTATATCTTTCAAAAGAGTGACATTTTTCATTAATAAAAAGTTATAGAGGGAATTCCCTGGTGGTCCAGTGATTAGGACTCCATGCTTCCAGTGCAGAAGGCCTAGGTTTGATCCCTCATCAGGGAACTAAGATCCCGAAAGCCTAGTTATGTGTGTGTTAGTTGCTCAGTCATGTCTGACTCTTTGTGACCGCATGGACTATAGCCCGCCAGGCTCCCCTGTCCATGGGATTGTCCAGGCAAGAATACTGCCATTCCCTTCTCCAGGGGATCTTCCCGACCCAAGGATCGAACACAAGTCTCCCTCATGGCAGGGCAAATTCTTTACTGTCTAAGGCACCAGGGAAGGCTTAAGATTCTGAAAGCCAAGTTATAGAGAGTAGAAAAAAATAATTACATGCTAAGACACCAGGGAAAACTGCCATAAAAGGAATCATGACCTTGGCTCTGAAAGGGGAGAAAAAGAGGAGGCAGAGCTTTATAAGAGGTTCAAGTTTTATTTGAAAAGAGCAACTAAAAAAATCAGTCAAGGTAAGGAAGAGCAGGTAATAGAGATCAATAGAAAATGAAGCTAGAGGCTGAGTGGCAGTCAAATTATGATTGATCTTAAAAGTCAAAGACATTGTCATTTTTACCTTAATTTGCTCCTCACTGATACTAGGAGTGTTTTTCAGGAGATTTAGGAAAACGCCACCTGGGGTTCTTCTTCTACTGCCATTCTACAAAAAGGAACAGAAAAATCATCCTGTGTAGACTCTTACCATGAATGGTCAGAGCAACTTTCAGAGACATTCCATGAAGATTTACTATGCCACTCTGGTAAACTGCAATGTCCTTCTCGCCTCTCCAGACTTCCCATTTGCTCTATTTCTTTTCTCATAGCATGTTATCACTTTCTAGCATACTTGGAAGATACTACATTTATTCTTTAGACCACTTCCTTCCCACCCCCATTACAACATAAGCTTCCTGTATCTAAAACAGTGCCTTAAACTACGACACACACGGGGGGTGCCACTACACTCATGATCATTATAGTTTGTTGTTAACTTGTATAATCTATGTCCACAGGCTGTTTCCTCACCCAGTGCTATCACTTCTAATTGGTTACTCTTCTCTCCATTTCCACAGCATAATATTGATGGGGTCTCTTGTGATGTTATTACTCAAATTCACGAGGAACAAATAAGAAGGAAACCATTCGACCTTCATCCTCATCCTGTGGTGAAAGCTCATTTAAATGAGATCTGCAAGACCACTCATTCTACAGCATAACCTGCTACTGCGTGTGATCTGGCAAGAGAATTGCTCTATCAGTCATTTTGGGACAATAAAGTGCTTTTTAACCATTTTTTTTTCCTCCTTCCTCAATCCCAGAAACCTCTTTAGACGTTTTGTTTCCTATTCACTCCTACCACCCATGAACTTTTAATACTCACAGATACACTTTATCTGTGCTTTATACATAACAAGATTTTTTGTTTGCCCCCCCCCACCCCCGAACCAGTTTTCAAGAATGTGTGAATTAAATGAACCAAAAATAACAAAACAAAATAAAAAAGAAGAAAAATTCTCTTCACCGCTACTAACTGATTTCTGGGCACTGTGATAAGCACTATATATGCATTATCTTATTTAATCCTTACATTAGAGGATTAATCCCATTTTATAGCTGAAACTGAGGTCTCCAAAGTCAAATAATTTAGCTAAATGTCACATCTAGTATGCTGCACATCCAAAATTCAAAACAAGAAACCCCAAACTCCAAAACCCATACTCACTAAGTTTGAGATTCTAGGTCCTTTGCCCTTTTTTCTTGACTTTTTCTTAAAATTTCAGCCCCTACCCTTAATGAAGCCTGTGAGGGATTTGTTGTTGACTACACACTAACAAGCTACAATTTAGATACATTTTTAATAAGAAAAGTACTAACTGTAAAAACTGACCATACTGAATATTTAAATTCAATTTTCATTATTAATGAGGTTTTTAAAAGTCTGAAACACATTGGTTATAATCCATAAATAAGAGAACCAACAATCAGAGACAAGGGCATTTTATTAGCCTTACCATTATAAAAAGACCACCGTTTTGTTCAACTTCAGCAGTTTCCATCAGAAGTTCAATTGCCTTTTTGTTCCCAATTATTCTCACTACTCGGGCTATCAAATCTTTCTTTGGTTCCTGCAACCTGATAAGGAACAAATGAAGTAATATCAACCTCTTTATTTGTTGCATAAAGTTGAGGAAATCTACCTGAGTCTCCAATTTAGTTCCCAGATAGAATTAACATCCCATTCTAGTAACATTTGCTTTCTGAAATCTTTAGTATTTAACCGTGGAATCAGTGACATGGAAACATTCTTATCTTGGGTCACCCAAGCAGACAGTAATGTCAAGATTCCATCTCAAGTTACGTACTGGCCTCTTCACTTTGCCTTATGGGATTACAGCAAATTTCAAAAGAAATAGGCACACACAGCATGATGAATTCAAGCCTAAAAGCAAACATATACCACGTTTTCTAAAATTTAGCTCTCCTAACTCGAGATGTCCAGGAGCTTTAAAACGGATTGGACTTTTCCCTCGTGGGCTCCCTGTCTCAGAACAGACAGATATGTTTTTACCTAATATTTACCAAAGGCTTATTATGAGATAAGCACAATCCTAAGAACTATATATGCACTATATTTCAGTTAATTCTCTCAACAGTCTTACAAAGCAGATATAATTATTTTTACCACTGACGGGTAAAAACACAGGAAGCCTAAATAAGTATAACACACCTAACATGAGAGACCATACTCTGCAGATGAAGGAGGATTAATATTACAGAAGTCTTACCAGTTCCCTAGCAAGCTCTGGCTTCTTTTGCTTTTTCTCTATTGTGGAAAGAGCACTAGACTAGGAATAAAGGGACTAGACTTCAGGTCCAGGTCTGACACATTAGTGACTTTGAGCAAACCACACAACTACTAGGCCTCAATTTCCTATTTGTAAAGTGAAGGTATTGGTTTACAAAATCTCTAGGTTTCTTTCCAGCATTCATATTCCAAACCACCTCAGTACTTAAAAAATCCAGTACTGCTATTGACAGGCTTGCCTGGAAAGCAAATACTTGTTCTCCTACTAGTTAAATTACCTTTGAACCAAACATGTTTTCAAACTTGTGACACTGTTCACTAATGATTTAGAGCTCATAAAATGTAAACAAAATGTCAAGTTTAGATATTTCATGTTAAAAATACATGAAATGAAAAAAAAAACCATGAAATGTAAATTTACCATACATCAAACAACTCTACTCCTATCTATCCAAAATAAATGAAAATATGTGTCCAAAGATGTGTACATGGAAGTTCATAACAGAATTATTCATAATTGCCAAAAAGTGTAATAGCCAATACAAGTGTGTGTGTGTAAATATGTAAGCTGTTGATGACTGCTATGACATGGATGAATTTCAAAAACACTGCACTGAGGGAAAATAGCCAGGCACAAGAGACTACATATTGTGATTCTATTAACATGAAATTACAAAAAATGCAAATTGACAGCAATAGAATGATTAGCAGTTACCTGGGAATGGGACTAGGAACTAACTCTAAATATGGCATGAGGGATCTTACTGGGTGATGGAAATATTTTAGAAGTGCTTTATGATTGTTCAACCGATAAATTTACCAAAAAAAGTCAACACTTAAAGAGGACAAATTTTATTACATGTATAATCAGCCTCAATAAAGTTGTAAAAACAAGCCACAAATACTTGAAAACACTCCAAGAAACCCATATGATTTAAAAGGATCTGTTTTTATCTGAGGAGTTCTACAGCCCTCAATAGAAAGAGTTGCTCAAAAGTTCACAAAAATCTACAAAATTATTCTATCAGGTCTGCCCAAATTTAAGAATAGTCAACTATATTCATATTCATATAACCACATAAGTCCAGTTCTTGCTTTGGATTTAAAAAATCTCAAAAAGGAACATCACCATCAATGTATTTGGAATCTATGGTATTTCTTATACATGGAAGATAATTGGTCAAGTGTTCACTTCTAGAAATATTTAAATGCTCACCTGAAAGAAATTTCATCAGCCACCTTCTCTTGAGAATCGTCCTCCGTGATCTCGTATCGGCCTTTATAGTTCATTTCTAGTCTGTCTCCCACTCTGTCTTTGACAGGTCGTTTCCTTTTGAGATGGCCTTGCCCATTTTCCTCCTCCTTTGGTCCCATTTTTTTGCCACCATGCATATATTCTTCTAGCTCTTTGTCTAATTCTTTTGTATGTTCTTGAGATTCTCTTTTAAGTTTCTTAGCAAGTAAATAATTGTAGGTCTCAGATTGTCGGCTTCTGTCAATAGTGCCCTCCATTTCCAAGATACCAAGTTCAGTGGCCACTGCATCTTGGTTCTGTTCTTGCAGCACGGCACCCCAGATGTTGTTAACCTTCTTCCTTCCAGCTATAGGTGGTTTCTGGCTGCTCTGGTCAAACTGAAAAGGCTCTGGTTTGGGAGGGGTGTTAAAACATTTCTGTCGCTTGCGTTTCCAGAGAGAGCTATCATCATCTGAATCTGAAAAACTCTCTTCACTTGAATCCACACTTTTCACAGTCCGATAATGTGATACCGGGGCACACACTGCTGCAGTACTCTGGAAGGGCCGCACTGCACAGTCCCCACCTAGAGCTTTCTGCAAGTGAAGGAAAATGACAGTCAATTTCACAAAAGACATTACCCCCACACACCCTCTGCTATCTAAAAAAAATTATTTAGGGATTCAGCGGAACCATTTTAAAGCAGCAGTGATCTTTGAAGATCTCTGAAACCAATTCAGTGCCTGAATTTCTAAAGGTTTACATGGAACTTCCTTTTTTTTTTTTTTGACCACTTGTAGGATCCCTGAGAGTGTTAGCCTGAGTCACTCGGGGATCCTGCAAGCAGCCAAAAAAAAAAAAGAGAGAGAGAGAGAAATCCATGTAAGGGACTGAATTGGTTTCAGAGATCTTCTGAAGATTATTCCCTAACCAGGAATTGAATCTGGGTGCCCCACGGGAAACGTGGCCAATACTAACCACTAGACCACCAGGGAAGTCCTTGGAATTTCCATTTTAAAAGCCACAAATTCTTATTTCTATATAGCTAATGCAGCACTTAATGCTAAAACAGCTTTCCAAAAAATTGCAGCACTTAATGCTAAAACAGCTTTCCAAAAAATTGCAGCACTTAATGCTAAAACAGCTTTCCAAAAAATTGCCAAAGCTCTTAATTCTCACCTTCAGAAGATTTTCAATCTTTTCAGTTGTCAGAACGTTTGAAAATGACATGTTCAACAATTGTTACAGGCACTTAGAACTTCTTTTCCTCTTTTCCAAAGGCTCCTGTCCTGCACTTGGATGTATCAACTGCCTTTATAAGGTTTTGGGACTATGTTCCTTTTAGATTAGAGAGTAAAATCCTATATGTAGGCATCACTGACAAATTACTTGTAAAACCACAGAGTCCACGGGATTAAGTTTACTAAGTCAAGAGTCAATCTATGCAAAACTGAAAAAGATTGAAAAACAAAATATCTTGGTACCGATTTCCCAAGATGCTTCTACATGCAAAAGGAATCACCTTTGCTTTTTCAACTAAACATCAAACTATTTGTTGAGCTCCTAGTCCGTGCTAGGAATGGGGGAGGGGTATTTTAAAGACAGAAGGTTAAGGCTTCGTATCTGGAAACAGTAACGGCACTAACACACTTGTCAGCCATCATTTAGGCTCCACCGAATCCTTACAACCACCCCATCACTGTGGTACTATGATTCCCACTCTAAAGATGGGGCACTAGGCTAAATACCCTGTCACCGATCACACAGTGGCGGCTCTGGCATTCGAACGCGGGCAGCCTGGCACTAAAGCCTTCTCAAAACAGCTTGCTACTGAGTAGCGCGGCCAAGACAAACGCCTATTTAGAAACCTGGGAAGCTGACATAAAACGCAGCGGCACATTATGGCACCACGAAGCTAGGTTCCATGGGAATATGGAAGAACAGGCCCCTGAGCAAGAGACGAAGTTAATTCCCGGTCCTCACTCCCTTTATCTTCGGGCGCAAATGAGCGCCACAGGCTGTTTGTGGGCAGACGACCCCACGTTCTACCTGTTCGGGAAAATCTGCCCTTCGGGGAGAGCCTAGCGACGCCGAAGGGGGGAATTCTGTAGGTTTTGAAAACAAGAGGAGGACACGGGAGGCGGGAAAGAGGCGACCGCACGCCCGCCTCTGGGAAGCCGCACGCCTCGCAGCTAGATGCCAGGCCAGGTTCCTAGGGCCCGCTGTCTCCCCGCCGCCCGCCGGGCTCCGCGCGCCCGCCAGGAGGACGCCTGGGCCCCACGCTCCCGGCCCCGAGTCACCCGCCTGCCCGCCGCACTCACCGGCACCGGCAGCGGCCTGTCGCTGGGTGCCACCGTCATGTCGGAATCCGAGTCGGAAAGCTGCCCATCTTCCATGTCGCCGGCCTCCTGCGCCATCTTCCCCCGGCGCGGCGCGGCGGGCCGGGAGAGCACTTCCGGCGGGGCGGCGGGCGGTGGGTGCTCGGGCGCCCCCGCGAGGGGGCCGCTCTCGCCCCGGCGGCCGCTGGCGCCTGGCCCGGACGCCTGAGTTGAGACTCGCAGATGTTGCATCATCATTGCAAACTGCTCCCGTGTGCTGCCTCAACACCCTGGCGCCTTTTCTTCTGACCTGCTATCTTCAAACCTAAAGATGTGCACTCATGGCAGCCGTGAGGGATTCCTCCCTCGGTCTCACAGTCTTCGCCTGGATGCTCCAGGCGGGGCTTTCGGCTTCCATTCTTCCTCCTCTGTGATCCACTCTGCAAGTAGCTTCCTGGGGAGCCTTCCAGACGGAATGTGAGGTCGCCGTCCGGCTCAGACCTCACTCAGCACAGCCGACAGAGCTGCAGCTGTGTGCTTCAGGCTGGGGTCCCTCTCCTCTCCAGCCACGCTGGCGCCTCTCGTTATTCCTCAGGCATCCTGGGCCCTTTCCCGGCCCAAGGGCGCTGCAGTTACTGTTCCCTCGGCCTACAGACCCTCCAGTACCCCGACACCCCATTCTTCCAGAGGTTATGCTCTCACATGATTCAGAATTCTGGTTAAACGCGCCCTTCCCACAGAGGTCTTCTTCAAGCACTCTCACTAAAACAAGGTCCTGTCTTTCCTGTCACCTTTTTATTTCTTCATGGCGTCAATAGTCATATGCCTATTTGTTTTATTTTTCTTGTCTGAATTTCCCCACCAAAATGCCTGTTTTATTCACTTTTTTCTACCTGTGCCCAGACCAGTGATTTCTTGTATGTAAACATGGTGAAGAAATATTAATTGAATTTTGGGGGGTATAAAGGGGATCTTATTATTTGTATCTTTTACTATTTTGTAATCTCCTTTCAAAAAGAAACAATATAACTGTTTATCCAGGACACTTTTCTATACCAATACATAAATATCTAGCTCCTTTTTAATGACTTCCCAGTTTTTCCATTGCATGGAGGTAGCATCATTTATTTAGTTTCTGATGGTGTACATTTATTGTGTAGCCAGTTTTGCAATGAACATGTCTTTTTACAAACTTGTTTTATTATTTCCTTAGTATAAACTGTATAGGAAAAAATGAATTTATATTTTTGCAATATGAATTTAGTACCTATAAAGGAACTTAGAAGTCACTTGGCCCATTTTATTTTGGTAACTGAAGGGAGATTACATAGCTAAGCTTTTGCAGACCTCTGTCTTGACTCCAGGTCTCCTAATAGACAAGTCTATTAGGTTGTCTAAGGTCTCCTCTTAGACAACTGATATTTTACTTCTTTTGCATAGAGTTACAGTTCACCTGAATGGGTTCTTGTGTGTAGTGTGAAGCAGGAGTACATTTTCATGCTGTTATTAACATACTGTGTGGTATGGGATGCAGCTAAATATCATATAATGCATAGAACAGCCCCTCACACTAAAGATTTTCTCCAGTGTTTTCCACTAGATGTTTTAGAGTTTTGGTTCTTACTTATAAGTCTATGGTTCATATTGACTTAATTCTTGTATATAGCATGAAGTAGGAGTCAAGGTTCTTTTTTTTTTTTTGCATCTGAATATCCAAATAATATAGCACTCTGTTGAAAAGACTATTCTTTCTCTTTTAATTTCTTTGACACCTTCATTGAAAATTGACTCTAAATGTGAAAGTCTATTTTTGAGTACCCTATTTCTGATCCATTGATCTTTATGTCTGTCTTTATACCAGTGTGACATTTTCTTGATTACTGTAGCTTTATAACAGTTGTAAAATTGTTAAAATAATTGTTAAAATCAGGTAGTGTAAATTTGTTCTTTTTTTTTTTCCTTAAAACTGTTTTGACTATCCTAGATCATTTACCTTTCCATTTAAACTTTAAAATATGCTTGCCAATTCTGATGTTTTGATTGGGATTGCATTGAATTTATAGGTTAATTTGGACATTTGAGAGACTGTAGTAGTTTGATACCACTGAATGCTGGAATCGAATATTATTAATCAATAACTCTTCTTGTGACACTGGGCTCATTAAACCACTGGATAGGTAGAATGTACCCTGGAAGAGAACGCAGTATTTAGAGGATGTGAATGGTTGGTACTTTCTGAGAATAATTTTCCTCATTAAATGAAAAGCCAGCATGTTAGTTGCAACATCATAGTTTGATATTTTGGTGAGCTTGATTAATCTGAGTTTGCCCAGAGCAATAGTTAGTGTCACTCACTCATGCTCTGAAAAATCAGATGCTGAGTTTACAATAATGAAATTATATTCTGGGTGGTGGTGATTTCTCCAATTTATTGCTGCCTTGGGGCAAGCATGCATGTTCATATCACTCTGCCTTCTGGCCAACTATCTTTGAAGAATAAAGACAGCTAGTATTCACAGAGGGCTTCCCAAGCACAGGTCATTTGTACTTATGCTGTGACTCCAGAGTCTTTGCTTTAACCACTCTCTGAGGCCTTTAATAAGTCATTTGAAAAGTAGAATTTGCCATCTACTAACTCCTCTACTTTTAATACAAAATTAGTTCAAGGGTATCCTGACATTTAAATTTCTGTAGGGCTTTGCAGTTTTTATATATGCTTTCATGTACAATCCATTTAATTCTTTTTCAAGTGTGAAATGTGCTTTCATAGGATTCATTTAATTCTATATCTTCCTGCTTTGCCCCATCAAATTCATTGTTGGTGATTTTTCCTGACCTCCTATTGACAGGCTAAGTAAGTTTTGAAAAAAGAAGGTAGAAGAGAGATGTATTCCCTATTTTCCATATAGGCAGATAGTGTGTATCGTCCCAAAACTTGTTTAGAGGGAGACCACCATGAATCACTCTTTTTGACTTAGTGAAGAGATGGAAGTTAATATTCCTTGAGAGCGTCATGTGTTGCTTCTAAAATTTAATGCATCTGTAAATGTCTTTTCATTTTTTGAATCAAATGGAAGGGAAGAGAATGGAAGGATGTGATGTTGGGATACATGTACAAAGAATCTTACTGGCAGCCAGAAAGCGAGGAGAATTAAATTCTCTATTAAAATGTCTGAGAATTAAAATGAAGGAAATTAGTGCGTCAGTCCTAGGAGTGGATGGACAGGAGTAGTTGGGTTGTTGATACAGATTACCAATGCTGAACAGGGTATCCTTGCTTATTACTGCTGAGGTTTGTTCATAGGTTCATTTTTTTCCCCAGTGATGTAAATGAATGTGAGCCTGGTAGGATGCTGGGAATTGTGGAGTCATGCAAAGATGAGTCAGAGGTGGTCCTTGCCTTAATGGGGAAAAAGCATAACATTTTCAAGTGGAAACACCATTCAGATATCGCCAGCACTTACTACAGTTTCTGATATATGCTTGCTTGATACATGCCTATTTCAACATGATTTGTTGAAATCATTTATGTTCTAGGGGTCAAACAGATAAAGCTTGAATGCAGAGATGGAAGGAAAGGTTTTACAGGTGGAGGGAACAGTAGGGCAAAGGCACCATGAGAGGAAAACACAGGCTTTGTAAAGAAACGTGTGACTCTCAACTGTCTGGTTGCCATGTGGAAGGCCACAAGATGAGTACAGAGAAGTAATATTTTGGGAAAGTAGGTTTGGAATCACCTTATTTATGCAATGATTTGAGAGTGTGTGTATATTTTAAACTCCTGCCCAAATCATGCTGATTGAGATGTTGCCATTTCCCTTAAATAGGATAGGCTTAGTTATTGTGGAATTTAGTGGCAGATGGGATGGTGGGGATGGCAAGAATATTTCAGGAAGAGAGAAGAAATGGAGAAAAAAGGAAATTGATCAAAACCGTCTTCGTTCTTCAAAAGCAAGAATATACCCACGCAGAATATTTGGAGGGAACTACCGCAATTTACCATTTTTCATTAATTAGAAAACTCTAATTTGTAATGTAACAAAGGGGCGGAAACAATTCTCTCTTTTTCACCAGAACTGGTTAAAAATACCGACTCTCAGAGCCCAGTCCAGACCTGCCGAATCACAGTGTGCATTTAACACGACAGCTAGGTGAGATCACATGCACGTTACAGCCTGAGAGGCCCTGCTCTAACTCACTATACTTTAGAGCCAATATTTTGCTGGAAAAAATTCCTAGCTGGTGCCGCCGTTCCCGCCGTCTTTCACTAGATGGCAGTAGCCCGCTCACTTCCCCCGGGTTTCACCCTCATTGTTTTCCAGGCCCTGATTAACCTCCAGGCCACAGCTCCCGGCTCCCGCGCAAGACCCAGCTAGGCAGGGCGACGGCGGGGGGCGTGTCCGGGGGGCGGGGCCGGGCCTACCCATTGGGCTCCTCCAGGCCGGGGGCGGGGCCGGGCCTACCCAATGGGCTCCTCCGGGCCGGGGGCGGGGCCGGGTCTACCCAATGGGCTCCTCCGGGCCGGGGGCGGGGCCGCACTTCTGTTGCTCCTCGGGCCGCAGGCGCCCCTCGCACCCCTGACTCAGTATGTGGCGCGTTCCCGGTCTGTTCTGTGTCCACGTTGCAAGGAAGAGCAAGTTCTCCGGACCTTGGAACAGGCCTGCCGCCTTCATGTCCACTCTGCTCATCGATCAGCCCCAATATGCTTGGCTGAAGGAGCTGGGGCTCCGCGAGGAAAACGACGGCGTGTATAATGGAAGCTGGGGAGGCCGGGGAGAGGTATGCACGTCTTGGGCAAATCTCTGCGGCCTCTCTTCGCCCTAGGAGGCCGGACAGACACTGCCCAGCCCTAATCCCCGCGGACGCTGTCGGCTTGTACTGGGTGGGGAGTTTTGAAGTCCATAGTAAACGTTTTCTCAAGTAGAAAACGTTAAAAGTACCATTAGATATTAGGTCCCGCGTGTTACCGAGAATCGAGTTCATTTTGGAGCAGAAAAGGGTTGACCTTCCCAAGAGTGCTTAAAACCGCACGGTAGAGTTCTGCCCTCTGTAGTGCGAAATGGCACACACTTGGTGGAAATCATCTGACTTTTCTACTTTTCTACTACTGTTCTACTCCTCACATGTGACGTGCGCCACAGGTAACGTTCAACAGTACAGTTTTATATTTTTTGGAATCGTCTGGAATGCAAGCTCGGAGTTGCTGAAATCCTGTTCTGTAGTCACTGGGCTCAGAGCTTCCTTGAGGGCCAGATTTTCAGCATTTCTCTATTTCCAAACCCTAACAATAGCTTGACTCTCAGTTAATGTTCAATAAAATGTTTTATAGACTAGGATGGAAAGATAAGGTTGTTATCACTTGGTTTATTTTTGAGGGCTGCATAGGAAAGAAAACTTTCATAAGAAAACGTTATATAACATCCCAACAGTTTGTTGAATGAACCTTTGTTAGAGGAAAGGCATTTTTTATCTGCAGCTTTAGGAAGTGCAGGTGGTTTTAATTGTTCCCAAATCCCCCATTGGTGGTTTTATCCTGTTTTTCCTGTGGTATCCAATCATTAGGTTCATGGATAAAATACCATCTCTGGAAAGCCTTCTTAAAGCTATACCTGGTTGTTTTTTTTTCTAATTTATCCCTCCAGTTCATGTGGACACACGCCTTTCCCATGGTTGTTTAGCCTTGGCATTTACACTTCTGACCAGAGGGTGGGCAGAGTTATGGAGAGAGGGAATAAGCTAAACTTGTAACTGCATGTGTGTTATTTGCTCAGTCGTGTCCGACTCTTTTGCGACCCTAGGGACTCGTAGCTAGCCAGGGTCCGCTGTCCATGGGATTCTCCATACAGGAATACTGGAGCAGTTTGCCATTCCCTTCTCCAGGGGATCTTCCTGACCCAGGTCTCCTGCATTGCAGGCAGTCTTTACCATTTGAGCTATAGGGAAGTCCCTAAAACTTGTAACTTTGGTCTGTTAATGAAAGAAGAGGCAAAATAACATGTTACTTTTAGGCTTTTGTTTAGATGCCTAATATTTAGATGGCGAGGGTGGGTTTTGCAGAAAAGGTGGTTCTGAGTGTTCAGGTCAAAAGTGAAAACTCTGTAGTCTCCTGTTTATGGAGAAGGAAATGGCAACCTACTCCAGTATTCTCGCCCAGAGAATCCCATGGACAGAGCGTCCTGGCGGGCTACAGCCTATGGGGTCGCAAGAGTCGGACACGACTTAACGACTAAACCACCACCACCACCAACATAAAGGTTCTGAGTTGGGTTATTGTATCTTAGTTCCCGCCCCACCTTCCTTTTTACCTTCCTGCATTAAGTCTGCTCCCCCATTTTCTATTTATATAGATCATCTTTTTGTTTTAGGTTATCACCACCTATTGTCCTGCTAACAATGAGCCCATTGCAAGAGTCAGACAGGTAAGTGCTTTTTTTTTTTTTCTTTTAATGCAAAATGCCCTTAGGGAGTTTGTGCCAGTTATCATTGAGTAATACAAATTTACAAAGTCAAAGAATGTTTCCTTTTAATTTAACATTTAAGAATGTCTGGGGGAGGGACTTTCCTGCAGGTTCAGTGGTTAAGTATTGGGCTTCAGTTGCTGGGAACATGTGTTTGATCCTGGTGGGGGAACTTAGATCTTGCGTGCTACACTGCCTGGCTGGAAAAAAATAAATTCTCGGGGAGACCTTGTACTCTGTGAGGATGTATATGCCCTGGAAAAGGTGACCCCTAGAGAGGACTACCCAAGAGGGGTTCCATTGGGGTCTATGTTTCTGGATCACCAGGGGACTTGGGTTAAGGTGAATGTTCTGACCTCTTGAATCTAGGTTGTAGCCTGAGGTTCTGAATTTCTAATATACTTCAGGTATTGCTCACAGATGAGGCTCCTGGACCTTGCTTTGAAAGGCAAGGTTTTAAAAGGTACAGAGTCTAACTTAACAAATTCCAGCAAGTTTTGGGACATGTAAGCTGTGATAATCATTTTAAACCACAAATCTTAGCGTCACTGGGGATTTTACAATTCTTTTCCAAAAGTCTGTGTTCTTAGGAGGAGATCATCACTGCCCTTTCCTTTTCCCTTTATCTCCCTCCAAATCTTTTTTTAGGCCAGCATGGCTGACTATGAAGAAACTGTAAAGAAAGCAAGAGAAGCATGGAGCATCTGGGCAGATGTAAGTATGGAGTCCGTGACACCAATACCTATGACAGATGGGAGGCAGCCAGCGCCCCCTTGCTGAAACTGGAGCTTCTTGGGGGCTGTGACTATCTCTAAGCTGTAGTCCTGAACTAGTACTCTTTTCCATATTTTGCCTTCAATAGCAGGGTAGTTTTAAAGGGAAAAGAACTCTGTACTGTCGTAGCGTAAACAATCCATGAACACTTGTGTCTCCAACTGATCTCTGAACACCCAAGTCTCCAAAAGTTAAGCAAAGAGAAAGGAATATCTATGCTAAAAATAAACCATATGCTCCTCCCCCACCTCCAAGTTTTTTTAGGGGCAGGGAGGGGATGTTAGCAATAGGTCAGCATTCTTGGTTCAGAGGGAGTGGTGTCAGCAGCTGCCCTCATAGGGCCTAGGCTCCAGTTCCTCGGCAGTCTGATGAGGCTCTGAGGCTAATTCTGCCTCCCCCTCTCTGTCTCCACCAGTTCTGTGAGCAGGTGTAGGAATTGACGAGCTGGGCTGGGCCACCCTGAGCTGTCAATAGATGAGGGCCAGGCTCCGGAGGAGGGGAGAGTAAAGAACTGGCTTAGTCTGGATCTCCTGGTTTACCCTGAACCTCCCTTTTGGTCTTCTGCCTGAAATACTTGGCCTCAAGCTATAGGAATATCCTGAAAGGTTAACCTAGCTCTGCCCCAGACAGTTAGTTCGCTTCGTGTGCTTTGTCTTTTGTAGAAAAGGGGAGGCCAGGTGTGCTTACCTCTTGGGTTATCAAAAGGGTTAAATGAGTTAATCATTTAACATGCTTACATGCAGGGGTAAACCTTAGCACCTGTTTGATTTTTAGATCCATGTGCTGCTGAGTTTAGAACTGCTGAGCCTCAGTGGGGTTTTTTTGTTTTTTCCCCGGAATCAGTGGTTGCTCCCGGAACTTGGGAAAGGGCAGACTCCCCAGGAGAGCCCTGAATTGGATGCAGGGTTACTGTTAGCCAAGAGACTGCCTCTGTGCAAAGCAGGAAGAATGTTTCCTTTAACTAATTTTGGCTATAAGTTAAGCTCCAGGTTTATGATATACAATCAAAAACTGAACTGAAAAAATCCTTGAACAAAGAAAATACTGCTTGCAAAAGTCAATAGTGTGCTAAGTGAAGTTCACCTTAGCAATGTAGAGAATAGTGGCCGATGCCATGTCAGCTTATTTTAAATCAGCTCATTCCACATCTGCAGGGCTCACATCTGCAGGTACGGAGTGCTGACTGTTCTCCACCACTCTGTGTAAGGGGCTTGAGCATCCATAGGTTTTGGAATCCATGTGGGTCCTGAACCAGTCTCTCATGGATACTGAGGGACAGTTGTATTGTTTTTGTTATTTCAATTAATAGACTATTTTAGAACAGTTTTAGGGTGAAACTGTAGGGGAGGAAAATTTTTTATTCTTCCCCTCTAGGTTCTTTGGCTGGTCTAATAATTAACCGATATACAACAGATTAGCAGGAGAAAAACAAATTTTAATTTTTTATGAGGGGGAGGCATGAAGATATGAGACCCAAAGGCAGCCAGGCAGTTGAAGCTTATATACCATCCTGAGCTAAGTAGGGGCACGGGGCTTCGAAGAGGAGGAGGACAGTTGCTAGGAATGTGAGCAGAGGAAGTGTTCGGTAAGCAGACGCTTTCCTTCTCGTGCAGATAAGTCAGATATAAAAAGTTTTCTCTGTTGATAACCCCTGGTACAGGTCCCTTTTTAATTTCTTTTAGGCTGTTAAGGGGAGTTAGAAATCTTTTCCTGAGTCTCCTGGGCCTTAGTTATCTGTAGCTCAAAATAAAGCCAAAGAACTTGTCAGACTGGCCCATCCTGGAGTGGCTTATTCTGAACTCCTAAGTTTCCTGTATTAGCACCCTGCATTAGTGTGGTACATCTTATAATTGGTGAGCCAGTACAGACACATCACTAGTAACTGAAGTCCACAAGTTGCATTAAGATTCACTCTTTGCATGTGTTGTTTTGAATTCTAGTGGAACTTTTGATCAGAAACATCCACTATATGTGTGTATGTACCCACAGTAAATATAGTCTTGTTTGAAAAAAGATTTGTGTGAATTCAGGGTCTTTTCTTTCCCTGAACTGACTTTTCGGTCAGTCTTGGCTTTGCCCACGGGGGTGGCCATTGGCACTGTGATGTCTTTAATATTGTGCTGTACTGTGATGTTGCTGCTGTTTTCGAATTCAGGTTCTTTGAAGTCTGCTCTTCCACAGTCATGCCAGCCTCTCTTTCTGCTCTTCATTTTTATTCCTCTCCATAGAGTGGGGCTGCTAAGTGGGAACGAGTGGCTTTCCTGGGTGATGGGAGAATCAGTTGGGAATCCCACTTGTTGGAATTTGAGTTAAGCCGTTGAGTCCAGAGTTTAGGGAGGAGGCAGAGCATTTCTTCTGTGTGCCTCCAGGACTGCTCAAACATGAACAGAACAAAGCTTGCTCCTCCTCGTGTACATACTTTTTCTTTTGGCTCCTCACTTGCCTGGGGCTACTTCTGCTTGGCCCTGACCCTTCTGGGTGCTTTGCCTGTGAGGACAAACCGCAGTTTCATTTAGTTCATTTGTATTAGACCTGGAATTTTTCAAAGGGAACCTTTTTTTTTCTTTTTAAGGAAAAAGGAGACAGAGTATGAAAATATGAAAAGGTAGTTTATAAAAATGTTTCTCTTAACTAAAACTAACCACCGAGAACCTGGTTGGGAATTCTTGCTCTGCTGTTTTCTTTCATGAGCTGAGTTAGTCCAAATGCCACCTGTTTCTGCCCGTCTGCATCCCCTGTGGGTGCCATCACTTTCCTTCTGCATTCCTGGTGAGGAGGAAAGCCAGAGTCTCTTTCTTCTCTTGATGACAGGAACTTGAATGGGCCTTCTCCAGCTGCATAAAGGGATTCCAGATATCTGTAGCTCTCTCTCTCTCTCTTTTTTTAAGTTAATTAATTTTAATTGAAGGATAATTGCTTTACAGAATTTTGTTGTTTCCTGCCAAATATCAATATGAATCAGCCATAGGTATATATGTGTCTCTGTAGCTCTTTAACATGGTTGTCTTTGCAATACTTCCCCAAGTGCTCAGCAGATAAGTAACTCTGCTCTTAGTTCCCTGTTCATGGTTGTCTCTGATGCTCACTGTAACCCTGACTTCAGAGTGAAGTGTGCAGAAATGAGGACTTGGCTGTTTTCAGGAGGGTCGAAGGTTACTGATGTGCTGTTGTGCTGGGCTGGTCAAACCCACATGGGGAATGGGACTGTCTTCCTGGTTACCTGCTCCCCCTCATCCCTCACCTCATACTTAATCCTGACTTTCTTTTTATCTCTTGCTGCTCCTACCCATCATTTTGGAAGCGGGAAGAAAGAAAAAAAAGTCAAGTTTGAGTGGTCTGAGATGGAATGTAGTTTAAACCTTGGGTAGTGGGTTCTACTGTGTACCCAGGGTTGAGACTTGATCAGTTGCCAGGTCTTAACAGTTTGAATTATGTTTATCTCTATTGCTGTTTTTGTGGTCCAGACAGCCACCATCTCTTCTCTGGCTTCATAGTGTTCCTGCCTGAGTCTTTCCTCCCTCTGATAACGTTTTCTATACCACATCTAGAGTGGTATTTTAAAATGCACTGTGAGGGACTTTCTTGGTGGTCCAGTGGTTAAGACTGTGCTTCCGCTGCAGTGGGCCTGGATTTGGTCCTTGATCTGGGAGCTAAGTCCCTGCATGCTGCGGCTAAAAAATTAAAATGCACTGTGATTTTTCTCCCCACTGTACAAAACCCTCTAGTGATTTCCCCACTGCTCTTTGGATCCTTTACACGGTCCTTTGCAGTGTGGCCCCTACTTTCCACTCCTAACTTCTTTCAAGTCTTTATAGTTTCCCAAAATTATCATATTCTCTTGCCTTTTAGCCTTTGCATATGTTATGTTCTCTGTCCCCCATAATTTCCCTCTGCTTTATCTACCTCTTCAGATGGCAAACACCAATCATGCTTTAGGCCTCAACTCTTTTAAAAGCCCCGCTCCTTCCCACCTTCTTGCCCCCAAGGAGTTACTACTGGGTTACTACTAATAGGTGGTCCGCTTGTATAGTCTAGCACCATCATGGCGCTTACCACGTGAGATTATAATCTCCTGTTTTGTGTCTGCCATCCCCAATGGACTTGAATCTAGCTGCCTTGTTTCCCTTGAATCCTGGGGAATAGCACACTATCTGGCACATAAAATGTGTGCAGTAAGTGGTGGTTCAATGACTGATAGAATAAATAAGCTCAGAATAGTCATGTGTATTGAATTAGCCATTCCGAGTTGAAGTTAACCAATTTGCTAAGGCTATAAATGTGTGGGCTAAATTTGGTTCAACTCATTCAGTGCCTTAGAAAATACAGAGGATCTTTGCTGTTTCATTTAACTTTATAATTTTTGTTTACTGTTTCCAAAAGTGTGCATGTATCATAAAAATGGCAGATGTTGCAGACGTACAAAATGCAGAGAATCAAAGTGTTATGATTCCATTTCCTGGAAATTGCAACTGTTAACCTCTTGTTGCAAATTCCATCAAATTTAAGCAAAAGTTTACTTACCATATGCATTATCTTGCTTTTTGTTTTTTTGTGTGTGTGTGTTGTATTTGTTTATTCATATGCGACTAAAACAGGGGAGGGAAAAAAAAGAAAAGAAACCTACAACACACATCTCCACACAGATACTCTCAACCCAACAGCTGACTGCTTCATTATTGCTTCAACTGACATCCTTAACACTGGCCAAGAGTCTGTTTTTCCCCATGTGTCCTGCGTTTCCTGGGGGTGGGTGGAACAGAGAAGGAATGATAAGGAAAAATGACTTATTCTGTTACCTTCCCATTTTTCATGAGACCCGGACAGGTGAGAATACGGTACCAAAGGTGCTGCCATCCCTTCAGCAAGACCTACAGGATTTAGGTCTCAGGACGACTTAAACCAGGCAGTGAAGTCACGGAAAGAAAGTATGGCCTGCCCTCCATGGAAAAACTGCTTGTAAAAATAAATGAAACAAAACAGAACAGGCCTCAGAGCTGGCAATCTTCAACCTTATTATGCAAAAAAATAATAATAATATATATATAATATTTTATGATTCTGAGCTAAACAATACTGTATTCTCTCCCATTTGCTCAATTTTCAGTCTCTCAGGAGCAATCCTCCAGCTTGAGTTTTATTGTTCTAAATATATATTACTCTAAGACAGGAACTACTGGGTTAACTTGCAACTAGAATCTATGATTTTATCACAAGTGTAGATGCAGGAGTCTAACGTGCACACATATGCGTGTCCCTTGTCCTTCCTCCCTGCATCGCATCTTTAAATGACAGGCTTGAGCAGACTTTTCTCTGACGCTCACACGGTCAGGGATGCTCAGCACCTCAGCACCTCCTGACTCTCTAAGCCCTTCCTGTTCAGACGGAGAGTTTGACTCTCTGAGCCTGTGATCTGGACTATTTTCCCGGGGAACCTTGACGGGTCTGGGGAACTGTGAGAGAACCACTCGCTCCCATGGCACCTCCGCTGAGCTGGGACTCCAGGGTCTAAGGAGAAACCACATAGGAGAAATGTTTGCGCTTCACATGGCCTCCCAGGTCCACTCGTGGCTTTAGGTCCAGCTTTTCTGGGGCTGAAGAGATACTGCCATGGGCCAGGATGGGGTGGACGGGGGTGTTCCCGTGTGTTTCTTCTGCTTCCCTAAAAAAATTTTTTGAATCTGTCCAGGTAGGGCGGCCTCTCAGGGAGCAGGTAGTAGTGCGTGGAGCTCACCTTCTTCCCATTTTCAATGATGGGCAGGATGCAGGGCGCCTTGCCGGCAGCCCCCTCACTGTGCTGTCTCTGCAGGGCTTTGCTGCTCACGTACTTGGGGTCGGGGGCAAAGCTCTGCGTGGGGGGCATGACCCCGTTGAGGTAAGATGGGAGGCTTTTGGGGCTTGGGGTGCGGGAGTTGCTCCGGGACAAGGGCTCTCTCGGTGGGACTTTGGGGGGCCTGTCCTCATCGCTGGAGGTGCTGGAGGTGACCTCGGCCGACCACCTTCTGTAGTCTGGCTTGGCCGGCCGGGGAGGGATGGGGACCCGAGGGGGAACTTCTGGCTTGTCGTCGTCGGAATTGGGAGAAGCCCTGTGCATGGAGCTAGAGATCCTGATGGCCGGCTTGTTGAAGGACCCCGCGGGGCCTGAGTGAGACCTCCTCAGTCTCCAGTGGGCCTGAGGCAGAAGGGGGTCGGCACTTGGCACCCCAGCCACCTGGTCAGGTTCCTGGCTGAGATCCACGGCGGAGACAGTTGGGGTGTCAAAATATGCATAGTTGATCTGTCCACATCCTCGGAAGCTGCGTCTGCCGGGGCCATCGGCTCTGAAGTCGGAGAGCCCGCGGTCTTCCAGAAGGAAGTCCGTGTCCGAGCTGGTGAGAAACTCGACCTCGCAGTCCGTCTCCTCCAGGGCTAGGTCCTCGGAGATGGGCAGTGGCGGCAGGGGCCGGGAGCCCCGCTCGCAGGGCGCTGGGCTGGAGAAGAGGGACAGGGGACTCTTGACGGGGGTCAACGGGGGTGTGGCAGCACAGACCCTGTTCACCGCCAGCTTCTTCAGTCCACATGCCACCCGGTCCTCCTCCTGCTGCCCCCAGCCTTCACTTGGGGGGATGATGAGGGGAGGCAGGCGGGACTTCGGAGGGGGCATTGCTCTGCACAGTGGCTGCTGCTCATCGGGGTGGATCTGGAGGTGCGCCCGATGGAGGTTAGCTGCTCCTGCGCCCGCGAGTTCAGACTGTAGGCCATGGTTATCGGGTCGATGTTTAAAAAGTTCTCAAACTCGCTGCGGCCACCCCAGCAGGCCTTCAGGCTCCCCAAGGCTTGGCCATCGTGCAGAAATCCAGTTTTTAACGGGACTCTGATCTCCTGAGCAGCCACTCCTGCCATGGACATTGTGCCTTATTCTGGGATGTCTTCAGACTTGCAATGCCCAGGGATGCGTACAGTCAACCAGTGGCTTTCATTCCCCCAGCAGAGCCGCGGCTGCCCCACGGCGCCCTCCCGCGCATGTCCGTCCCGGCTGTCTCAGCGCCTCGGGCTCAGGGGCCGACACCGCGCAGGCGCCTCGCCCCACGCCAGCCGCTCGCTCCCTCTCGCACTCCAAGCTCGCACTCGGCCGCCCTTATCTTGCTTTTTGTTGTCGTTGTCTTGTTATGGCTCTTAAAAGTTTTTCCTTATAAATCTATTTTATTCTTTTTAGAACGTGTCTAGAGATTTGATGTGCTGTTCTGTGCTTAGTCACTCAGTTGTGTCCAGCTCTTTGTGAACCCGTGGACTGTAGCCTATCAGGCTCCTCTTGTCCATGGGGAGTCTCCAGGCAAGAATACTGGAGAGGGTTCCCATGCTTTCCTCCAGGGGATCTTCACAACCCTGGGATTGAACCCAAGTCTCCTGCCTTGCAGACTGGTTCTTAACCATCTGAGCTGCCAGGGAAGCCCTCCATTTTATGGCTATTCCATAATTAACCAATCATATGCTGATGGACATTCGGATGGTTTCTGTTTCTCTACTGGAAGTAGCACCGCAGTAAATGCTGTTGTAACCTATACTTTTGCACACTTATGTATATGTTCAATTTCCAGAAGTAGAACTGCCTGTTCAAAGTAGTGGGGGCGCAGGATGTATTTGAAATGTTAGTAGAAGGCCAGGCTACCCTTAGATTAGAAAAACCATACAAGGATATTAGGTATACATTTGGGGAAGAGGGAGAGTGAGGAAGAGCCCTGAGCTGCATGAGTGCCTCACTTATTTCAGCCCCAGTGCCTAGTATCGCTGATGTCACACAGTAAGTGCTCAGAAAGTAGTTTGTCAGTGAGTGGTATGATTTGAATGGATTTTGGACACCAGCCGAAGTAAGCTGAATTTAGGGTTTGGGTTTGCAATCAGTTTGACCCATGTGAAAACATCTCTGGGAATCATATAGGGTTCCAGATTATGTAAGGTATTTAGAGCTTTCTAGAGTCATCCCACCACTCCAGTATTCTTGCCTGGAGAATCCCAGGGACAGAGGAGACTGGCAGGCCATGGCCCATAGGGTTGCAGAGAGTCGGACACGACTGAAGGAACAAACCACTAAACACGCAGTCATCCCAGAAAGTTGTGTTCAATCTGAATTTCTCTCTGTACTTGGCACAGCCCTTGCTCACCAAGAATGTGTCATCTGTATATTTTCTTGGTCTCTGGAATGGGTTTTAAGGCCTGTCATCAGACACTGATGGGATCAAAACAGATGTTTTTGACGTAGTTGTGCTTTGTTCTATTACAGCACATTAGTACTGTGTTAATAGACATGAGCTTACACTTTTCAGCTGACACTGAAATGCCATTCCTTCCTTAGATTCCTGCTCCAAAGCGAGGAGAAGTAGTGAGACAGATTGGTGATGCCTTGCGGGAGAAGATCCAAGTACTAGGAAGCTTGGTAAAGTATTTTTGTAGTAAATGTATAGTACTGTGAGTGAAGAATAAGGCTATTTTGTACTTTTGTGTATAAGTGATCTTTTTAAGGTCATAATTTACGTATTTCACCTGGAGAAGGAAATGGCAACCCACTCCAGTATTCTTGCCTGGAGAATCCCGTGGACAGAGGAGCCTGGCGGGCTACAGTCCATGGGGTCGCAGAGTCGGACAAGACTGAGCAACTTCCCTCACTTATGTATTTCAAAAATATATATGTATATAAATTTGTAGCTTATATATTTCAAAAATCTTTTCTTTAGAGGAAAGATTAACAAGATGGATAGGAAAATGTGAAGACAGTTCTTGGGCTTTAAAATTCTTCAGAAAAATAAGAATAGACTGTGGTTTGTAACCCTCACAAAGCAGAAACAAAATGTTTTGCTTTCCCCACCTCAACTTTAATGTTTAAAGCATGAATTCTGTTGGAAAATTGCTGCTTGGTCTTTTGTATTTTTAGGTGTCTTTGGAGATGGGGAAGATCTTGGTGGAAGGTGTGGGAGAAGTTCAGGAATACGTGGATGTTTGTGATTATGCTGTTGGCTTATCTCGGATGATTGGGGGACCCATCCTGCCTTCTGAAAGTAAGCAGCGAAGTCAGTTCTGCTAAGTATTGCGCTCCAAAACAGAGAACTCCCCAAAATTCTCTGGTTGTGAGCAGTTTCCACAAAATACTTGTATATGAAAATGTTTTTAATCTCTTTACAAAGAAAGTCAAATTAAAACAGGTGAAAATAATCAGAGCAAGATGTTTAAACTTTTTAAATTTTTCAAGGTAAAGCTCAGTGTTGGCAAGTTCATGGGTGAGACTGATCCTTTTTTATGGAGACTTTGTGAAGTGAATCACCAATCTTCTCTGGAAAACAGTTTGGGAAAATATCTATCAAAAAAACCTTAAATATTTAACGCAAGTTTCCAGAATCTTGATTTAAGTAAATAATCTGAAATGCAACTGAGGTTCAAGTATTAAGGTGTTCATTGTCCCATCAACAGGAAACAATAGAAATGACCTAAATGTCCAATCATGACAAAAGTTGAGCAAATAATTTTGGCAGTCTATTAGCAGATATTGTCAAGAGATCATAAAGACTGCCTTCCCCAACCGCAGACTTTATAGGAAAGTTGTACTTACTTATTTTTACTTCGCCTTCTTTTTTTATATATACTTACTTTTAGATTATTTTGATTTGAGAAGGTAGTATTTTTCATGTCACAAAATTAAAGAGGAATAAAAAGGTGAAGGAAGAAATATTTTCTTCCTCCCAGTGGGATACTCCATAGTATTCCCGGGACTGTATCAAATGTTTCTGGTTTCTTGAGTATATCTTTCCAGAGCTTTTTCACCTGCAGACAGATATGTAGCAAACCATCTGTTCCATTTTATACTTTTTTCCTACTTAATGTATCTTAGAAATTGTTTCATATTGTTCCAATAAGGTGCTTCCTTCATCTTTTTTTTTTTTTTTAATGGCTGTTTTGTTGTAAGGGTGACCAATTCCCAAGTAATAGATATTTAGGGTGTTTTCAGTCTTGGGCAGTTAAACTGTGCTGCAACCTTGTACTCAGTGATGGGGACAAGGGCTTACACAGTTTGTAGTGTTTGCCGTGTCAATGGAACAAACCGGGTGAATTCATGTGACTGTATTGAAACCACAGAGGTGGAAATCTCCTGAAGTGGTAATGGTGGTTATCTGTCAAGGCAGAATTATTAGTGGTTGGTTTTGTCTGTCTTCTGTATTTTCCAAAGTTTCCACACTGGGAATTAGGTTACATTTATAATCAGGAAAAGACATTTTTAAAAAATCACGTTTTCCTGTTTCCTCTTGGAATATTGGGCAAATTCCCTGCTGCTAGAAAGAGGGAGTTCTTTTCAAATGTACAGTTATTGTCCATAATTTGATAGGTAACAGCGAGTCCCATTAGCCAAGGTTAATTTTATATTGAACACTTTTCAGAGGTTGTTCAGAGTTAAGAAAGTAAACTGCCAATTTGTGGAAGTATATATGTGCAAGCAAGTAAGTTTGAATTTTATCTGCTGTAATGTCTGACTCACCAATTAAAATCCTTTTCAACTGTTTACACATTAAAAAAATAGATTATTCATTTATGCAGAAGCTCTTGGGTAACTTTGACTTCATTAATTCAATTAATGCTTGTCGAGTGTCTGCCAAGTGATCTAATAGGTAATACTTGGTTTGAAAAGTGTAGTCCTTTCCCTCAAGAAATGTATAAAGCTGTAGATTCCTTGCATTTTAATTTTGTTTATTTTTACTTATTGGCCACACGGCATGCAGGATCTTAACTTAGTTCCCCAACCAGGGATCAAAGCTGTGCCCTGTGGTGGAAGCATGAAATCTTAACCACTGGGCTGCCAGGGTATTCCCAGGGGTGGTTTTAAACTGGGAAGAAGCCTGTGTGGAAGCTTAAGATGGGAGAACTTGGCTTACTTGGGAAACTGTGTTACTTCAGCCCTGCCAGAGGGCGCAGTATGAAGGGAGAAATGGGTGGAGAAGGAACCTTGGGAAGGGACTTTTCCTGGAGTTTGGACTTTATCCTGAGCGCTGCTTCAGTAGTGATAGGGTTGCCAGAGTGTGGCTAGCGGGGGGAGTCCTGTCATCAGATCTCTGCTGGCTCCCTGGAGGGAAGGATGCAGAGGGGAGCGGCAGAGAGGAGGAGGCAGGCTCTGCCAGGAAGAGACTGTCCCAGCGTCACCTCTCCAGAGAACAGGCCTCCCGGACTAAGAGGGAGCCTGGGAGTGCGGGGGAGCAAGTGGTGGGGGGTCCTTGTTCTCGCTGGCAAGGTGAGCATGGCCAGAGAGGTCGATGGCTGGGAGGGTGGCCTTCCTACTGCCTTTAGCCGGCTTTCATGAACCTTCACATTCCTCGCTCTGGTTCTTCACTGCTTCAGCTGCCTTTGATTAAAAAAAGGCTCTTGTGGGGTGAGGTGGTCGGATGGCATCACCACCTCAGTGGATATGAGTTTGAGCAAACTGCGGGGGATGGTGAAGGACAGGGAAGCCTGGAGTGCTGCAGCAGAGTCAGGCACGACTGAGCGACTGAACAAACAGCTTGTGGGATTATGGTGACTTAAGTTTGTCTATGAGATACAACTTTTAATTTATATTTTCAGTTTTCCTATAGGTATGTAAAGATGCGTACAGTTAATTCATTGAACGTTTATGTAATTATTAAAACTTGGCCCCCCCGTACGTGAGTCACTTTGTCCTGAATTTAGAGAGGTGAGCTGAGGGCTTCATCCGGCAGCGTCAGGAACACGGCCCTGAGCGTCGTGACTCCTGTGTCGTGGTCGTGCCTGCCCTTGGCGATCACATCACCGAGGACACGTCTCGTTTACTCTGAAGTTTCCTCGTCTCCCAAATGGGACTGGCACTGCCCTGACCCACACAGAGTTCCTTCGAGGAGTAGAGGCTAGATGGAGATCCTCATGGTTTATAAGACAGCCTGGTAATAACAGCGTTTGTTGTATGCTGGTGAATGTACCAGTGTCCCCCAGCTGTGTGAGGTGATCTGCTACAAAGCGTCTATAGTCCCCATGTGCTCTGGTGCATCTTTGTTCTGAAAGGGAAAGATTGCAGACTTTGTTCTTGTGACCTCGGCAGGCTTTTAATTAATGTGTTTAAGCCTGTTCCATGCCTTCTTCGTCCTCAGGACCTGGCCATGCTCTCCTTGAACAGTGGAATCCTGTAGGCCTGGTCGGAGTCATCACTGCGTTCAACTTTCCTGTGGCCGTGTACGGCTGGAACAGCGCCATTGCCATGATCGGTGGGAATGCTTGCCTGTGGTAAGAATGGCTCATTTTCCTATCCAGTAGTTAGATGGTAGAAGTCTCCGTTTTCAGGTACTACTGAAAGTATTGCAAGTGTATTGAAATGTTTTCTACTGCTCTTTCCGTTAACATTGCAAGTGACACCTGCTAGTTGTGAAATGCTGGGTTTTAGTTATTTACATGTTTTACCATTGGTAAACTTTATATTTTTTAACACAACCTTATACCATCTTCCTTCTAGTTATTTCTACCCCAAGCAAGTATACTGTAATTCAATTTTGACATTAATTACTTGGACTCAATATCAGACTCCACCTGTTTGAGTGAGTGAGTGAGTGAAGTCGCTCAGTCATGTCCAACTCTTTATGACCCCATGGGCTGTAGCCCACCAGGCTCTTCCATCCATGGGATTCTCCAGTCAAGAATACTGGAGTGGGTTGCCATTTTCGTCTCCAGGGGATCTTCCCGACCCAGGGATTGAACCTGGGTCTCCTGTATTGCAGGCAGATGCTTTAACCTCTGAGCCAGCAGGGAAGCCCCCACCTGTTTAAGGGCTCAGTCTTTTACAAGACTCCTCCTTCTTAAGATGCTAGCTGCAAATGTTCCCAGTCCTCAGGACATCTGCAGTTCTCACTGGCTGTCTACAGATTTGGAGGTTACCACTGGTTTCAGTAGAGCTTCCCTGGTGTCCCAGATGGTAAAGAATCTGCCTCCAATGCGGGAGACATTGGAAGGGTTGGGAAAATGCCCTGGAGGAGGACATGGCAACCCACTCCAGTATTCTTGCCTGGAGAATCCCCATGGACATAGGGGCCTGGCAGGCCACAGTCCATGGAGTCGCAAAGAGCTGGACGGGACTCAGTGACTAAGCATAGCACACACACTGGTTTGAGTAACTCATGAGAATGGTCCACAGACCTCAAGAAAGTGCAGTATTCAGCGGTTGCACTTTGATTGTAAAGGATACATTTAGGGCATGGTTTAGAAGGGTTTCAAACACAGAGCGTCCCTGCCCTCTCCCTGTGAGGTCAGGACATGTCATTTTCACAGCCAGGAGGCTCCACTGAGCTTTGGCGTTAGGAACTTTTATGGGGTTTTTATGACATTGGCACGATTGGGTAAATCATTGTACACGTGACCGAACTCAAGTCTTCCTCCTTCCCATCCCACGGTTGATCTTTCTCAACACCACCCCCCATCCTGAGGCTATCTTGTGGGGAGGGGCACCAGTTACCTCAGTAGCATAACAAAGGCCCTTCTATCATTCAGACAGTTCTGAGGTTGTTGATCCTGGGTGTGCCAGAAACTGGGAGCCAGATCCCTGAGAAGCTCCAGGAGTTGGTGATGGACAGGGTAGCCTGGCATGCTGCAGCCCATGGGATGGCCAAGAGTCGTACATGACGGAACTAACCGAACTGAACACCAGATATAGTCTTCATTACGCTACATTTCACAAGCAGAAAACTAAATGAACAAGTAGGAGGGAAAAGAGAGCTTGTGATAAGGCACAACCTTCTTTTGGAAACACAATTCTTTTTTAATTCAATAAAAATTTGATAGTGAATTCCCAAGTGATTCTGAGGCACTTGGCCAGTACTCCCATGGCTTCATTAAATGTTACATTGCTGTGAAATATGCGATAGTAAAAGTTAGCTGGGGAAATGTCAGTATTTATAGATGACAAAACAGTTGCTTGCTTTTAGCTTTTGTGTTCAATGGAGGAACTTAAATCAGGAAAACCAGGAGAATTGTCTTTGTCCATTTTGTGTCTTCCCACTAACATGTACTGATATTGGTGGTGTTCTCAATTGAAGGTAGTCAAAGACTATATAAGCAAGGCATAGTTGGATTAATGATTCGGCATCATGTTAGGCAAGGAGTATGGTTTTCCTCAGCCCCCCGAGTCTTCCAGTGAAAGTTGCTGTTGATTGATCTCTGTTTTACTCAGTTTCCACAATAGACAGAGGTTAATGTAAAGTTCCTGTGATCAGTGCAGCAAGCAGGTTCAGAACGGCTCAGTGCCATTTTTATACTTATGAAAGTTTTGTAGTCCCTTCGGCCCCAGAGGCACCAAGCTGAAGGACTGACTTCTCTTTCAGTTATTAGGCTCTGTTGTTTATTAAGAACTTTTTTCTCACAAAGACCGTTGCTTCTGCTTAAAAATAAAAGGTATTTATGATTTTCACCCAATTAAGCTGCTTTTTTGTTTTTATTTTTTACTCTTACAAGGAAAGGAGCACCTACAACTTCCCTCATTAGTGTGGCTGTCACAAAGTAAGTATGTGTGGCTTTCTTTTTTCTGGGTCTGGGAGAATCTTAAAGGGTGATTGATAGGCACTGAATTTTTAACCTGACATGAAAGTGTCGTATTTATTTTAGCATAGGATCTGGACAAACTCTGTTCTTTGATTGTGATAACATTTTTGTATCGTTATGTAGTTTACGGATCCTTTTCAGGGCCATGTCATTTAAGTCGTGGGAAACATGCCAGATACTGATATAAATGTTGAACTTGAACTCCTAAAACATTTCTTTTTGTCACTTGCAAAATAAAAACAAATCCAGTGGAGAGGAAATAGTCTTGCAATGTAGGGGCTATATGCTATAACTATGTAGCATGTTAATGGTCTTAATTTCTACTCAGGCCGATACTTTTATTGCTCTTGTTTAATAGACCTTAGCAAAACAAAAAAAGTGTTACACCATTCAACTGATTCTTCTGACACTGTCTAAAATGTATTTCATCTTTTGGTTAAAAATTACTGTTTTATTTATTCCTCTTTGGAAACATGATAACACTAGTTAAGTCATAAAATCAATGTTACCAATTTATCATTCCAGAAAATCGCTTTCTGTGTAGGGTGATGATGGGCCCTTGATGATGCATTGTTTGCATGGCCTGCATTCTCTGAGAATTATTGGCAGAGAGCTTGTGATGGAGTCTGTTCATAAGAGGGTACTTAATGTTAGAAGATCATTTAGGAGCACTGACTTGGGAAGCAAAAAGTCAGCTAAGAGAGTAGTGTGTGTTAGTATTGAAAGGAATGTGTGATATTGAGGAAACAATGTCTTTCAAGGCAAGAGTTCAAATTAAATATTAAAAAGAACCCATATACAAAACACACAAAAATGGTGAGATTCCCCTAGGCAATTTTTAAAAATAATCCTTAAAAAAAAAAGCAAGCAAACAGTTAATATGAACGTGGTGAACTGACTTGCCAGTTGTTATAAAATAGCTGATTAAATTATTATTTTGATGTTCTCAGTTATTGCTTTGGTATTCTAAAACATAAAGTTATTCTTTGTGCTTTTAAATATTTATTTGGATAAACCTTTGAAGGAGAAGGCAATGGCACCCCACTCCAGACCTCTTGCCTGGAAAATCCCATGGACGGAGGAGCCTGGTGGGCTGCAGTACATGGGGTCGCGAAGAGTCGGACATGGCTGAGCGACTTCACTTTCACTTTTCACTTTTATGCATTGGAGAAGGAAATGGCAACCCACTCCAGTGTTCTTGCCTGGAGAATCCCAGGGACGGGATCGCACAGAGTCGGACACGACTGAAGTGACTTAGCAGTAGCAAACGTTTGAAAGGTTTGAGATGTTCATATAGGAACATGGCAGATGTTTTTTTTAGACAATTGAGAATATCATCTGATTTTTGTGATAGAAGACAGTAAGTTAAATGATGATATATTGTGCTGGAGTTAACCAAAGGTATCATACCATCCACTGGGAGTTTTTATTTTTATCTTTTTTCACTGGGAGTTTTTAAATTCAGCTGCTGTTCAGACTCAGAAGATGACTACATATTGTACCTGTCTGTTCAGAAGCACATAGGACAGGAACATAGTTTTCTGGGAGGATAGCATCAGGTACAGATATTTCTCTTCATTTGTTGTTTCTGGAGCAGTTTATTTGGGGCACAGGAGCTGAGATCTACACTGGATAGGAGTTACCTTGGCCTAGAAGCTCAATGCCCCACAGAAACCAGAAAGTCTTGTAGCAATCCTTGCATGCATGGCTTTCAGCCACTCACGAGGGACATGTAGTCACAGAAGCCACTGTACTCAGAGAAGAGTGGAAGCATGAGGTTCCAGGCATAGTTCTTGAGTCGTCATTCCAGTTTAGACGGGGGCGATCAGTCAGGGCTTACTTTTACCATGAGCCGTGTTGTCTAGATTGCATTGCTGACATTGGCGTTTATCAGATAAGCTGAGGAACAAAACTGAGGAGTTAACCCAAGGTCAGATTCTCATGAATTAGAGAAAGAGGGCTTGATTGACTTTTACCCACAGGTGCAAGGCAAAATGCCTACCCTTCAGGTGCAGTCAGCTGCTTGTGCAGACAGGAGATACACCCTGAGTCCCTGGAGAGAATTATGCAACCTGATCCTTAGCCTCAGACATGACAACTACAGTGTGTGATCCTTGATGGGTGGAGGAAAGAAAACAGCTGTAAAGGACATTTTGGGGGCCAATTGGAGAATTTACTTGGGTATGATAATGGTATCTTTTTTATGGAAGTGGGTTTAGAATTTAGATCTTTATGAAATTTCAGGCAGAAAGTAGCTAGTAGCTTGGGGTGATGGATCAAAAGAATTTTTGCCCCATTGAGGCACCTGCTCCTCAGGAAGCTCAAAATCAATGAAAGAACCGTGTTTCAGAGAAATCGGAATTACTGGAGCCATATTTTACAACTTAAAATCAGATTTAAATAGCATTGAACTATATGTCTCATTTTGACTCTAACAGCCTAAGTTGTAACCAGCAGACTAAGAAAAGACTGCTTGTCCACCTTACTTTAGTCTGGTGGGTGGGGCTCTATTTCCTGACTAAGAGGTTGGTGGACACTAGTGCTGAACTTCTTTGGGGTTCTGCAGGCAGGTCCTGCACCCTCTGCTGTTTCCTCCATATCCCCTCTTGGTTTGGGGAACCTTTTTCCCTTCTCATCCTTTACCATTTCTCTAGCTTGCTCTGGTTGGAAGAGATGCGGCCAGACCTCTCATGACTAATGGGAACTATCCTTCATTTTCTTCGTCTTTCTGGGTTTTATTCCATATATCCCTTTTAATTTTTTTAACATTATTTTAATGGGTTTTTGGTAAAAAAGGGTTCCCGCACCTGCCCCAAAAAAGCCCTGCAGTCAGTTTACCACTTTGAACCAGATGTCTTCATAGTTGGGCAGAAAATATTTGAGAACAGTGATCACTTGAACTTCCTGACCAATGCTTTAGGTCTTTTATATATTTTGCCTGTCTTCTTCTGAAGTTTCTTTTAGGCGAAAAAAAAAAGTTCTGCGTTTAAGTGTTTGAAAACCTCCCCTAATATCTGAGGAGAAATGTAGGCCTAGATATTTGAGGGATGGGAGAGAAAGTTGAAAAAGGAAAGCCAAGTGATTGGAATTTATTATTTCTCCAAATACGGTAAGAAATTAAATCGATCCCTTCCTCAGAATTGCCTTTTCTTTTCTAGGATAATAGCCAAAGTCCTGGAGGACAACAAGCTGCCTGGTGCAATTTGTTCCTTGACTTGCGGTGGAGCGGATATCGGGTAAGTCAGCAGACCCAGAGTGTCTTTCTGCTGAAGGACCTGGGAGGATCACCTAGAGTCATCTTTACTAGAATTTCAAAACCCAGTATAGTGGAGGAGGTGAGAGTGGCGTTTTGAAATCTTTACTGTTACGGATCTCACTGGGCTTTACTTCATTCATATGTAGCTGTTATTGGAGGGTGAGTGAGAATTGTTTTTCATTGCCCAGAGCTGCTATTGTAAGGCGTTTGTGTTACACACTGCTGTGCCAGCGTGCAGCCTGTGGTTTCCTGACGCTTGATTTGTCAATGTGCTCACTTATAAAGCAGAACTGTGGGGTTGTGCTCTGGTGTCTCATCTCCACCAACGACACGTAGCCTATTCTCTGGGTTCCCCCGTGACCAAAGAAGGGAACCCTGGAGACCCAACTTCTGATTTATTGTTTTTCAAAAGTTGCCATGTAATTCACATACCATAAAGTTCTCTCTTTAAAAGTGTACGATCCAGTGGTTTTTAGAATAGTCACAGTGTTGTACAGCCATCCTCGTTACCTGGTTCCAGAACATTTTTGTTACCCTCGCCTCAAAAGAACCTGACACCCACAACAGTCTCTTCCGTCCCTTTCCCCTGGCAGCCCCGCTTGTACTTCCTGTCTCTGTATTTGCCCGTCTGGGGTGTTTCTTATAAATGGAATCATACAGCACGTTGCCTTTGTGTTTGGCTTCTTTCACTTGGCAGAATGTCACAGCCTCTTTTTCAGCTGAAACGGACTATGCTTTCTCTGGACCATGGTAAAAGCTGGTTCTACTGGCCTGGACTTTTTCTTAGTTGACGTTTCCTAGGAGTCAGGTGTTAGAACCTTTACTGGTATGGTAAAAGTCTTACTCTTATCTCCATCTATTGTACTTAATGGGCAGTCTCAAAAAGGAGTAGTAAAGGCTTTTTTTTTTAGATAAGGGAGAACGTTTTAGAAATTTCTATTTAGAAAATACAACTCCCATATAAAGAGTGCATATAATGAAGTATTATCTAAATGTCATTTAAAACATGACATTTATTTTTTTTCCAATTATTTTTATTAGTTGGAAGCTAATTACTTTACAATATTATAAGTGGTTTTTGCCATACACTGACATGAATCACCCATGGATTTACATGTGTTCCCCATCCTGAACCCCCCTCCCACTTCCCTCCCCATCCCATCCCTCTGGGTCATCCCAGTGCACCAGCCCCAAGCATTTGTCTCATGTATCCAACCTGGACTGGCGATCTGTTTCACACTTGATAATATACATGTTTCAATGCTGTTCTCTCAGATCATCCCACCCTCACCTTCTCCCATAGAGTTCAAAAGTCTGTTCTATACATCTGAGTCTCTTTTTCTGTTTTGCATATAGGGTTATCGTTACCATCTTTCTAAATTCCATATGTATGTGTTAGTATACTGTAATGGTCTTTATCTTTCTGGCTTACTTCACTCTGTATAATGGGCTCCAGTTTCATCCATCTCATTAGAACTGATTCAAATGAATTCTTTTTAATGGCTGAGTAATATTCCATGGTGTATATGTACCATAGCTTCCTTATCCATTCGTCTGCTGATGGGCATCTAGGTTGCTTCCATGTCCTGGCTATTGTAAACAGTGCTGCGATGAACACTGGGGTGCACGTGTCTCTTTCAGATCTGGTTTCCTCGGTGTGTATGCCCAGGAGTGGGATTGCTGGGTCATATGGCAGTTCTATTTCCAGTAAAACATGACATTTAAAACATGTCTACCCTTTGACCACTCTGTTCTTGTCCTCAGGACGTGCAGTCCTGCAAGCTGGCCTTGGTGTAGCTCAGGTGATAACAGGAGTGTGTGCATGGGGACGTTAGGCAGCGTTCCCCGTGAGTGGCAGTGCCCACGTGTGCTGGCCTGACCTGGGGAAGCCTGCAGGCACAGTGTCATCAAGCGTTTCCAGCCCTGCATTGGTCTGAGCCTGTGTCTGTCTTGCTTGGCGCACACCACACCCTTTGAAGCACTCAGCTCTAAGCAAGGAGGTTCAGATTGACCGTGTCTGGTCTACCTTCCTTAGAAACTGGAGATCCTAGCACAGACTTTCTAAGTCAGCTTCCATGAGGGATGATTAGGATATTTCCCTATAGTCTTTGCACTTTTAATTCTTTTTCAAAGATATTTTTTAATTATTTTATTTTGAAGAGTTTATTTGTTTTTGGTCAAGCCATGTGGCATGCGTGGATCTTGGTTCCCTGACCAGGGATTGAACCCGTGCACCCTGCATTGGGAGCATGGAGCCTTAACCACTGGACCACCAGGGAAGTCCCTAAACTTTTAATTAAGAGACTTCAAAATAGCCGAGATGCTCATCAAGGAAATGCTACCGTTGAAATGTCCAGTCATGCATCAGTACAAGAAGGAATATCTTCTTTACCAGCATCCTTGAAGTGATTTCTGTTTATGGAGAGCTCCCAGAGCGGGTTAGGCACTGTCAGAGGCCCCTGTTGCTGGGTTTCTCTGCTTGCGTGACCATGTCTGTTCCCCTGCAGCACAGCTATGGCCAAGGATGAGCGCGTGGACCTGTTGTCCTTCACCGGGAGCACGCAGGTGGGAAAACAGGTGGCCCTAATGGTGCAGGAGAGGTTTGGTAAGTGCTGGCTTTATAACGAGCATTTTAATACCCTCAACTATGGATGTGCAATCTAAATGTTGGTTTTTTTCCATGGATTATTTGACTGACTGTCTAAGTAAAAGAAAAGATATAGTTAATAGTGGGTTAATATTACCAGCAGATATATATCCATAATTTGGAAAAGGATGTCATTCCCTTCCTAACTGACTGTAGTAGGATCATATCAAATGTATTTATTAACCTGTATCAGACCGGTTTAGCAAGTGAAAAAAGAAAACTCACGATTTAAACAGGACTATTCAGAGTACAGGACCCAGAGTGAATACGGTGTAGAAGGCTTGCGTCTGTTTGTCTCTCATTAATGATGTAGCGCTCCGTGGCGTTTGGTGATGATGGCCCCATCCCCATGTGGCTTAATATCCTCTTGATGCTTAGGCTTCCTGGTGACTCAGTGGTAAAGAATCCACCTGCCACTGCAGGTCTCGTGTTTGATCCCTGATCCAGGAAGATCTTGCGTGCCTTGAAGCAGCTAAGCTGTGCGCAACTATTGAGCTGGTGCTCTTGAGCCCAGAAGCCACAACTACTGAAGCCTACAGGCCCAAGAGCCCGGTGCTCTGCAACAAAAGAAGCCGCCTCAGTGAGAAGCCCACACACTAGAGAGTAGCCCCTCCGTCTGTAACTAGAGAAAAGCCTGTGCGGCAAGGAAGACCCAAGAGAGCCAAAAATAAATTAATTTTTAAAGAAATCCTTTAAAAATAAAAATCCATTTGATGCTTAACTGTTTCAGAGTAGTGGAGGTGAGAACATATTCTCTTGTTTCACATATGTTCCTAACATCACAAGTAATTACAAGTTACTTACATACAAGCTGATTTTGAAGTGCAGTTAAGAAAAAGTAAATATATATGTAAAAGATCAGTAGTAAACACAGCTCTAAGTTGAGGCAGGCAAATCTCAAGTCTCAGCGCTCAGGAGTGTACAATGAGAATGGTGTACATAGCCTCCTGTATACTATCCTGGCATGTAACCTGGCAGTGTGCATCAGGAGCTCTAATATCCATACCCTTTGGCCCTGACCTAAGCAGGTAATCGAGAGGTAGGTAATCAATAACCAGTATATTTAACACTAGAGAAGTTAAATAAAAGTTGGCTTATATCATTGTGATGGAATGCTATATTGTGGTGTTTAAAAAAAAAACTCTTAATAATTTAGAGAAAAGGTATAGGTTTTTATTAAGGAAATAAATCAAAATTGATTATTATGATCTCAACTGAATATAGATGTATAGGAAAGAGATTGGAAGGCACTGTTTCAAATTATGAGGAGAGATTTCATGGTAATTTGTGCCATGCCTTTAGCTTATTTGGTTCTTTTTTGCTTTTTTTTCCCCAAAATAATTTTCTACAATGAGCACATAATTTTTAAACTTTTTTATTATGGTAATATATATGTGTATATATATATATATATATAACAAAACAACATTTGATTTATATATATATATATACACACACATATTTTTAACTGTACAGTTCAGTTGCATTAAGTACATTTGCACTTATATTGTTGTGAAACTGTCACCATCATCCATTTCCAGAACTTTTTTTGTCTTCCCAACTCTACCCATTAAAAACCAACTCCCCATTTCCTCCTTCTCCTGGCCTTGGGAACAAGCATTTTGTTTTCTGCCTCAGACTTGACTATTCTAAGAACCTCCTCTTAGAAGTAGAATCATACAGTAGATGTCTTTCTGTGTCTCAGTTATTTCACTTAGCATAGTATCTTCAAGGTTTACCCATGTGGTAGCATGTGTCAGAACTTCCTTTTTAAGACTGAATAATAATCTATTGTGTGGATATACCACTGTTTGTTTATCTATGCATCTGTCGGTAGATACTTGGGTTGATTATACCTTTTAGCTATTGTGAAAAATGCTGTTGCAAATACCACTCAGGTCCCTGTTTACTTCTTATGGTTAAGTACCCAGAGTGGAATTGTTAGATCTTATGGTAGTACTGTGTTTAAGTTCTTGGGAAACTGTCAAATTGTCATATAATTTTCCTCGGTGACTGTACCATTTTACACTAACTGTTTGGAGTTTAAGGGGATATGATTTCAAGCTTAGAGAAATTCCAAGACTAACACAAAGAATCTATATACTCTTTAATAAGTTTTACCAGTCACTTGCCCCATTTTTAAAATCACTTTCTCTTCAGCAGCACACACACACACACACACACATAAAAACACATATATACAGTGAGAGTATGTTGTTCTTGAACCTTTTGAGAAAGTTGAAGACATTGTATTCCTTTAAATGTGTTTGTGTATTTCCTCAGAACAAGGACTTTCTGTCATATAACCATCATACAGTTATTAAAATCAGTCATCTTGACATTAATGCAGTGCTCATTCTTTTTTCTTTTCCTTAAGGTACAACTGATTTATGCTCATGCTATATTTTAAATCTGAAAGTAAAACAAATGGGATAGGCTTTGGTTTGCAGGTGTGTGCAATAAACTGAAATAGGCATTAATTTGTATTTGTATATTTTTAAAGGGAGAAGTTTATTAGAACTTGGAGGAAACAATGCCATTATAGGTAAGGCTGCCTTTTTTGTTTGTTTTCTGGTCGGCATATCTTCAGTAGTCATCCTGAATGTGTAGAACTCGTGTGAGAACTCATCTGTTGTGTGTTGTCTGAGATCTAAGTCCCGTGCATGGGAACTTTTCCTTATGAGACAGAACACAGTGTGTTCTTGTTTGGAAAATGTTACCTGGGGCTTAGAACCTGTGCCTGTGTGTGAGACTTTCTAATGTGGCATGTTTCTTGTTCTCCTATTTTTTTTTTTTTTAAAACTGGCCACATGTTTCTCTAGAATAAATAAGTCACTCTTATATGATCTGTTTCCAGAAATACTAGTTTGTCTTCAGTGGAATATTGAGTGCTTTTATATTGGGAAGGAATACTTCCTTAAGGTATTTTATCATTTAGCTGTAATCTTAGAGATTATTTAATTCTCTTTTTCATTTGTTTGATACAAAAGGAAATAGTCCACCAGCATAACTTCTGGATAATATAATGAGTATCAGTTGGTTGAGACGTCATAGAATCATGAATTTTATGATAAAAAAACTTCCTAATTGTACATTGCTATCACTATCGTGTTTAATGCTTTTGTGTTTGTGGGGGACACCAGGAATAGAAAAAGTGTGTGATGAAGGATTTGTTCTGGGTGAACTTCTAATCTTGTAAAAGGGAGCTGATTAAAAAATACAGTTAGCATTTAAAATCACTAGGCATTTGACAAGTATTGTGATAAGCTGTTTCATATGCCATATGTCATTTAATCCCCACAGTAGTCCCATGAGGCAGATACCTTTATTAATCTCATTTGAAGGTTACACTTAGGCTTAAAACAATATGTGCCTAAAGTGACAGAGTCAGCATTTCTATCCTGGCAATCAGACCCCAGAGCACAGCTCTCTTTGTAAAACTCCTTCCTATCGTCCATTAATACCCCAGATAATAGTATTCCATTTTATGGATGAGGAAACTGAGGCTTAAAAAGGTAAAATAACACAACTAAAAAAGGGATAGGGATGGATAAGAACCTTGGTCTGTTTGGTTGTACAAACTGCCTTCTTAACCATCCCTTTAGTCTGAGAAGGCTTTTAGACTGGACAGGGGAAAATTGAGGATGTAAAAGGCAATTGGGACTGTAAGTTTATGGAAGGGGTGGAAAGGAAGGAGTTATAAGTAATACAGTGTATCACTGGAAGGGTTAATCTTGTAAAGATGATGCTAGTTTTTTCTTCAGAGGGCAGAAGAGTAGGAGGAAGAAATATAGACAAAAGGGGAGAGGAATCTGGAGGTGATTTTGCGTTGATCTCTTCAGTTGCAGAGGAAGCAGGAAAGGGCTTGGTGTGTGATCCCTCCAAGATTTTTCGTGAAGTGCAGGGTGAGGTCATCTGGTGCAGGAGGAAAGGGCACGAGGGGTTTGAGAGATTTGAAAAAACTTCTGTTGAGGGGGGGACAAGTGGCATTTAAGGGAATGGACTGATGCAGGTGAGGGTGTTGATATTGTTAGAGAGCTTGGTTTGATGGTGGTAATAAATCAGAAGGGTCCCAGTGGGCTGTCTGGCCCAGGGAAGCTGCCATTGTAATTGGCCGTGGGGTTGAGGGTGGAGGCAAGTAAAACTGACAAAGACAACGGTGTCTTAGAGGCGAGATCACGTGGGTGCAGACAAGGCTTAGTCAGCACCAGAAACTCCCGAGAGGTGAAAGATAAAGCAAGTCAGAATAGGATGAGCTCATCGCTCTATTCTCATATCATTTTCCCTGGGATAGGAGTTGCCTCTGCAGCGTGAACCTGCTCATCTTACAGAAATAGCTCTGATGTTCTCTTCCTGCGCTTCCTAGAGGCATCATCTTACACCATTTAGCATCAAGTACCTTGTCTGCCTCCTCCACGACACTGATGGGTGTGTTTTGTTTCCCTAAGCCTTTGAGGACGCGGACCTCAGCTTAGTCGTCCCCTCGGCTCTCTTTGCAGCCGTGGGGACAGCCGGCCAGAGGTGTACCACTGCGAGGCGCCTGGTGAGTGTCTGCATGGGCATGTGAGAGTGTCCTGCTTTTCCATTGCCATTTTTTAACACACTGTACCATTCAGGAAGTGTGACAGAAGCGCTACTAGAAACCTGCTGTTTCTGAACATAGTTTAACTCTCCTACTCTGTTCTGTGCGCATGGCGCATTCTGCTGGTCAGCCAGGGTCTCTGCCTTAGCTCTGCCCCAAGCTGCATGTGGTCCAGCCCTCACTGGAGTCGGACTTGGGAGATTAGACCTGCTTTCAATCCTGCACCTAACAATGTGGACAGAACCCCATGTCACTTAGAGAATAAAACAATCTAAACACCCTATGGGGTCACAAAGAGTCGGACACGACTTAGAGCCTGAACAACAACAACAAAACATTTGAAAAATTTGAAACTGTTTGCTAAAAGAAAGACAATTTTGGCTTTTTTATAAAGACATTTTAAGTTGTAAAATATTTTAAAAATTAAAAGATTTGGGCCTGTAAGTCAAGTCTTGGATTTGACTTGATGTGACATAATTTTCTGGAAAGTAAATGTATGTGTATTCTCTCTTTAGAAATGTCTAAGTCTGTACACATAGTGGATAGAGCATGTAAATATTAAGTGAATGTGATGAGAGTGGTTTCGCTTCAGTGTTTGGGGCTTGGGAAGTTTAATACCCGCCATTAGTTTTGGACTGGATTTTAAAATGCTTTTTTCTGGGGTACAACCTTGATTTTCATGACTTGTGCTGCTGGAAACTTGCGCCAAACAAGTTTTGATTAAGCAGAAAATTTGGCTACCTTTGCCTTTTTTAAAAATAATTATCGTTGAGTTTTCCTCCTGTCATTAAAAAAAAAATTCAAATTATGGAGGAATTAGCTTTGGGTTTTTCCTCTCACCCACAATGAATGTGAACGAATTCTTTATAAGATTAGCACAATCTAAATTAGTTAGAATAAGATAAGAAAATAGGGAAATTGAGTCTTTACTTTTGCCATGACTTCTCATTTTCACTCTTCCTGTATTTTACAATGGATGAATATCAGTCTTTTCTTGGTTTTTACATTATTCAGTTGAAGTTCTTAAAAACATCTAAGCTACAATGTTCATAAAGTATTTACAATTTATTAAATTTGTTCACCTTAAGCATTTATGACGCTAAAGCTTAGAAGGAAACAGGCATACTCCAAAATATTACAATCTTAATTACATGACAAACTATGAAATGATGTAAATGTCAAGCATTTCTTTATTTGGTTAACTTTTGTTTTTCCTTTGTGTCCCGGAGCAAATATGCATAGCTTTGCTTTCTATTAAGTGTCAAATATTAAAGGATACTATTGGTCATAACCCAAATCAGTTTCTATAGGGACAGTAGTAGTCTTTAGAAAAATCCACTCCATTACTACACACCCCTGTATGATTTATCATTGGCCCTCTGTTTCAACCAACTGTGAACCATGTAGTCGCACTAGAAAAATATGTTTATACAGGGGGACTTGAGAAGTTCAAACCCTATATATGGAATTTAGAAAGATGGTAACGATAATCCTATATGCAAAACAGAAAAAGAGACACAGATGTATAGAACAGACTTTTGGACTCTGTGGGAGAAGGCGAGGGTGGGATGTTTCAAGAGAACAGCATCGAAACATGTATATTATCTAGGGCGAAACAGATCACCAGCCCAGGTTGGATGCATGAGACAAGTGCTCGGGCTTGGTGCACTGGGAAGACCCAGAGGGATCGGGTGGAGAGGGAGGTGGGAGAGGGGGACCGGGATGGGGAACACATGTAAATCCATGGCTGATTCATGTCAATGTATGACAAAAACCACTGCAATATTGTAAAGTAATTAGCCTCCAACTAATAAAAAAAAAATAAAAAAAGAAGTTCAAACCCATGTTGTTCCAGGGTCACTTGTATAAATCAGTAATGTTAAGAAAAATTGGAAGAATTCCCTGACAGTCTAGTGGTTAGGACTCTTGAGATTTCACTGCTGAGGGCATGGGTTCAATCCCTGGCCAGGGAACTAAGATCGCCCACAGCTTCACAATGTAGCCGGAAAAAAAAAAAAAAGGCTACAGGAAAAAAAAGAAAATTGTACATTGTTAGCAATTTTTTGCATTTATTTGTACTATTTATATATACTATTAATAGTGCATTTATATTTCCTAATCCCTTGAATGTTTCTTCATTTAGTTCTTACATGAAAGCATCCATGATGAAGTTGTCAATAGACTTAAAAAGGCCTACGCACAGATCCGTGTTGGGAACCCTTGGGACTGTGAGTATCTGGTTGATATTAGAGATTTTCTTTTTAACTGCTGGTGTTAATAAGAGTTCCTGGTTTTCTACATATATATACATATTATATATATATATATATATATATATATATATATACATTTTTTTTTTTCCCTTTCCTGAGAGGCCCAAGGGACTATGAAGCAGGTTATTATTGGGCAGTTAGGGTGACAAGTCTGCTCCAAGTTAGGATCTGAGTGTTTCATGTGAGTTGGTGGATGAGCTTGGGATATGATCTTGAGGTGGGGTGAGTTTGATGAGCTTCTCCTTTTCCATTTCCCTCTTTGGAGTTAGCACCATCCTCCCTCCGGCAAGGTAGCGAGAGGCACCTGCCTGACTTCTCTGCTTTAATTTCTGCCTTCCATCATAACCAAAGCAATTTTTAAAATGTAATTAGATAGTTCACTCTCTTGCTTAACACCTTCATTGCTTTTGGACTGTAACTTCGATGCCTTTGGAGCCCCGTTTTAGCAAGTTTATGGTCTTGCATGGTCTGACCTCGTTGCCCGCCCTGACCCCCTTTGCCCCCTTAATTTGTTCACGACTGCTGGGCCTATGAAGTTCTTAGAGAATAGTCACCCTGTAGTGAGTAAGCAGAGCCTATATTTTGACTGCTGTGCTCTGATGAATTGATAGCTCTTTGCCTAGATTTGACCCTCCATGTTTCTCTATAGAAAGCTTATGAACACTCAGTCATACCTGCTTTTTTGCATATCTTCTGTGGCTGCTTTTGCACTGCATTGGTGGAGTTGAGTGGTCATGGCCGAGACCACATGTGTCACACCAAGCATTAAATAGTTACAGTCTGGCTCTTTGCAGAGAAAGGTTGCTGAAACCTCCTGCTCTAAGCCGAAGTGATATATGAAGGGGTTGGTCTGCTCATTGGGATAGCTGTTAGAATAATAAAATGATGCCTTTTAGGGTGAAATGAAGAGCATTCTTTCTTTCTCTCCAGCTAACGTCCTCTATGGGCCACTCCACACCAAACAGGCAGTAAGCATGTTTCTTGGAGCAGTGGAAGAAGCAAAGAAAGAAGGTGGCACCGTTGTCTATGGTGGCAAGGTAATGACCACTTGAGATCAGGGCTTTTCTTTTCCTTTTGCACACAAGTAGGCTCGGGGTAAACTGATGAAGTATCCCTGACTGCCAGCTTTCTTTTCTGCATTCCTTTTGTAACAGGGAAGTAAGTACATATTTGAAAGAATGACAATGTAACACACATGGAACATTTCTGAAAAGGCATAACTCAGAGCCAAGGTTATCTTTGCATTGAGTGCCTGGCAATTTGTATGGAAGGAAGATGAAGACCTCTTTTTCATGGTACAGGGGAAGACTGTATTCAGTGCAGTTTAAATCCACATTTAGTAGTGGTTTTTAAGTCATTTAAGGTGGAGAATCAAAAAAATACACACTGCAAGCATTTTAATTTGACACATATTACTGTTGTCAATGGAAAATTAATTAGTTGGTTTAAGAAAGAAATGGAAAATTTTATTTGAGCCAAGTTGAGGATTATAACCCAGGAACAGCATTTTGGAAAGCTCTGAGAACCGTTCTGCCTGTTAGAAAGTCAAGGCAGTTATAAAAGTATTTTAAACAGAGGGCTGTATATTAAATGACAGTTTACACAGTCTAGAGAAATGTCATCGTGGCTCCTTACAAGATAATGAAGGAGTGTTATATTTTAGGAATTGTATCATTGGTGCTAGGAGAATGTTTGCTCTTTATGGTTGAGCAGATATTTCTGCTTATGGGGAAGTTTGGTGGACACATAATACAGATACACAATGCACAGTAGAGGGGAGAGAGGAGGCCATAGGGCAAAGAAAGCTTTTGATGGTTAAATTTATCTTGTCTTGCTGTAAAATATGAATTTCATTTCACATTCTATTTGTTTGATTCTTGAGATGTAGATCCAAGGAATTTTTTTCATGTACGATAGAAATTTGTCTTCATCCTTGAATAAGCTATAAGTATCATTTATTATCTACAATGTATTTTCAGTTCTTTAAAAATTACAGTGAATTGAGTCTTGCAAAGCTTTCTGAGGGCAGAATCCTTCTCTTAACACTGACACACCTACATTTCACCTGATAGAGATGTATATGCATATTTGTATTTTTGTTACTTATTTACCTTGAGCTTTTTTAAGCATATAACTTAATCTTTTTAGAAGTAACTTTTCCCCCCCTTGGGTAATATTTACTTAAGGTACACAATGCAGTATAGGATTACAGTAACAAATATAGCTGCTGCATATGGAACTGGGAGTAAATTCAGATGACGCTTGGTAAACATACAGCTCAGAAGGTGTGAGCAGAATGGTACAGGCATGCTGGAGAACCGACCACTGGCCGAGCAGCTTGCTGCCGGCATCAGAATATTTTATAGAAGTTACGTGGAGATGAACTAGCAATTTGGTTACGTGGAGCTCAGTTGGGAGGGTGTCTACAGCATGTCCTTTTGGAGCTTTAGGTTTCTGTGTTACTGTGTGTTAGTTTGCTAGGGCTGCCATAACAAAGCATCACAGACTGGGTGGCTTAAGCAACGCATTTATTGTCTCACAGTTCTGGAGGCTGAGTCCAAATTTGAGGTGCTGGCAAGTTTGGTTCTTCCTGATGAGGCCTCTGGTTTGCAGGTGGCCACTTCTCTCAGTGTCTTCACATGGTCTGTCTGGAGAGAGGAGGTCCTTGGTGTCTTATGGAATTAGTTCTATCTGATAAGGGCCTCACCCACATGACCTCTTTTAACTTTGCCTCCTTGAAGGTCCTGTCTTCAAATTTAGTCACAGTGGAGAAGGTGAGGTTTAAGGCTTCAATGTAAGAATTGGGAAGGTGGTGGTGGGTGGGGTATGTTGTAACAGGATGGATATAGATTACCTCTTTAAAAATTATGTGGAGTTTAAAATAGCCACCTGTAGCCACATTTTTTCACTGTAACTTGGTCATGATGCATAGCCCAGCTCTCTGTCCTTGACCCTTTTTTCTTTTCTTTTTCTGACCAACTAAAGTTAGAACCAATAGGTGGCAGAGAAATTTTCATTCATGATGGGAAGTTATTTTGGAGAAATAATTCACTTATAAATGATACTTTTTTTTTTTTCCCCAAAAGTATAGGCATGGGACTTCCCTGGCAGTCCAGTAGTTAAGACTTCACATTCCAATGCAGGGGTGTGGGTTCAATCCCTGGTTGGGGAGCTGAGATCTCACATGCCCCGTCAAAAAACTGAAACATAGAACAGAAGCAATAATGTGACAAATTCAATAAAGAATTTAAAAATGGTCCATATCAAAAAACAAAAACCCTTAAAGTACAGGCAAAGATGGTATCCTCTGAACCAAAGAATCAAAAACAAATGTTCTTGATTTTATTTCTTTTCTCTGCTGCAGGTTATGGATCGCCCTGGAAATTACGTAGAACCAACAATTGTGACAGGTCTTGACCATGACGCATCCATCGTACACACGGAGACTTTTGCCCCGATTCTTTATGTCTTTAAATTCAAGGTAAAATGTGGATTCCTTCTCTCTTTTCTCTAGTTTAATGTTGAAACAAATGACAAGACCAGAAGAAAATAAAGGCATATTAAATTTCACTCAGTTAGCCTTTTGGGGAGGTTTTATAAAATGACTCTGATTAGTAGAGATTTGAAAGTTAAGGACAAAATAGGATGATCTGAACACTTTAAGCAATAAAGCATGTTAAGCTAGATGCCAGGGGAATTGAGACAAGCCAAGGGCCAACGTTGAAATTGGTGGAGAATGTGGCCCACATTGTCTGTATCACCTGATTCTGAGCTGTGTACGCTATGCAATCATCTTGTGCACAGAAGGGACATTTGTTTTTGATTCTTCGGTTCAGAGGATACCATCTTTGCCTATACTTTAAGGGTTTTTATTTATTTTTTTTTTTATATGGACCATTTTTAAAGTTTAGTCTGAGTGCTCAATATCAGTGGACAAAATGAGAAGGTAGAAATGTACAGTTACAACCTATGTCAGAGGACAGGCTACAGAGGTTTCAGCAGATGTAGGTGTCTAGAGGGTCTTCTTCCTCACGTGCAACAGGCCCTACTCTGCCAGCAGAAGCTTAGAGATTGAATCGAGGCTTGGCTACTGTGATTAACAGTTAAAGGGTAATGAGACATACCTTGTTGCAATGATGTGATTGCATGAATTAAAATCTTGCTTTAAATTGTCTATTTTTGCTCCACATAATGTGACTATAAATTGTAATGTCATGTTTTGTCATGTGTCTACATGTTTGAGTTCCTGAGCATATCATTTAACCCCTCTTGCCTAATCTGTAAATTTGGGATAACATTGAGCCTGCATCATTGGCTGAGAATTAAATATATAAATGTATGTTCAATGTCATTGTGTTTGTGTTGCATGTACTAAGGGCTTAGTAAATAATAGATCTTGTATGTAGTGGCATGAATGGAAGAATGTACTTGTGTGTGTGTGTGTGTGTTTTAATATTTATTTATTTATTTGGCTTTGCTGGGTCTTTGTATGGAAACTCTTAGTTGCAGCATATGGGATCTAGTTCCCTGATGAGGGATGGAACCCAGATCCCCAGCGTTGGGAGCTCTGAGTCTTAGCCACTGGACAGCCAAGCACGTCCCATTATATGTTTTTCTCAAAGTTCATTTGAGGGGAAGATCCCACAGAGCACTATATTAGGAAGATGTTGACTCCTTAGCTCCCCTACAATTATACTGGTAAATTTTATGGAATGAGTTTACCATTAGTGATTGGACCTGACACTGTATCATCTAACAGCTTCCAATGTCTGTCCTTTTAGAATGAAGATGAGGTCTTTGCGTGGAATAATGAAGTCAAACAGGGACTTTCAAGTAGCATCTTTACCAAGGATATGGGCAGAATCTTTCGCTGGCTTGGGTATAACTTTGTCTATTTTGAAAATGTATATAAGTCTGATTTGTGTGTTGAATCGACTTTACAAAAAAGAAAATGAAGCCATCATAGGTGAAAATCTGTTTTTTAGCATTGAGAATCTTAGAGGTTTTGTTCGGCTTATTTATTTATTCATTTTTGTATATATATATATGTATATATATATTTTAAACTTCCCTATATTTTGCTTTCACTGTGCCTCCCTTTTTATATACGCAGACCAAAAGGATCAGATTGTGGCATTGTAAACGTCAACATTCCGACGAGTGGGGCTGAGATTGGAGGTGCATTTGGTATGTAGAGAATGCTTTTTCCTTTACCATGTTGGACAACTTGTGTGAAACATTGTCTGCCAGGAAAGCATAGAGACTTGGTATCCACAGCTTTTATTAGGAGTTGGTCACACAGGCATGCAAGGCCTAATGTGCCCCCAAATTTCAGACTCTCGGAAGGAAAACAGGTATTAAACATAAACTACATTGTTGGCCCAGTGAGACCGTATGGGGAACTGGTTAGCCTGTAAATTTCCAGATGCTAGCGGCATTGTAAACAGATCTGCTGTGTATTTTCTGCACAGATTGTAACTTTTCTCAGACTTTGAAGTTATAAATTACTTGTCTTCTGGTTTCCATTACTGTAGGTGAAAAGCCCAATCCACTTTGATTTCTGATCTTCCCCCTCATTTCAAAAGTTTGGGGTCTGTTATTTATGTCTGATGTTCTGAAATGCTTCAGTAATATGCCTCAGTGGAGATCTTGGTAAAATTCTTGTTGCACAGTCAGTGGGCTAGTAATGGGCCTTAGCATCAGAACTCACAAATTTTAGTTATGGAAAGTTTTTGATAGTTTTGTTTTGGTGGTGTTTGAGGTTTTTTTCCTTTGATTTTTTTCTGTTTTAATTTCTAGAACTCCTGTTATTTGAATGTTATCTCTTGAAGAATTATCTAATTTTGTTTTTTTTTTTCCCCCTTTATCTATCTCATTAGTCTTTTTGAGAGATTTCTTCAAACTTTTCTTCTAATCCTTCTCTCAAGTTTTTTCTCTTACAAAAAACAATATTAAGTGTACTTTGATAGCATACTTTTATTTATTTATTTATTTTTTGATAGCATACTTTTAAATGTAACCTTTTCTTGTTTTGTGAAATCATTATCTTTTTATAATCTCTTTTAAAATATTAAGATAACATTTGAACATTTTATTATAAGATCAGTTTATGTACATTTTAGAAAATTATATACAGATAAGCATCAATGGGAAAATAAATTATATTTCCCTTGTCTAGAGGTTTCTACTCTTAACATCTTGGTCTAATGGTAAGGTTTTTTTAAGGTTTCCTTCTGATGCTTGATATTTCTATTTTTTGTTAATTCCTTTAACTTTATTTTCCAAAGTAGTTCTCTTTTTTGTGTTTATTTTGGTCTCTGTCTTTTATTTATTTGTTTGCAAAGGAGCTACTCTGGCCACAGGTGAAGTAACTGGTCAGGTAGCTCTGGTCCCCTGGTGTCTTCATTTCCATGATACTGAGTAGGAGCCCACACAGGTGCTGCTATATGTATACACACACACACACACACATATATATGCTATGCAGAGAGTCACGAGCTATTTGTGCACTTCTCTAGGAGGGGAGAAACACACTGGCGGGGGCAGGGAGTCGGGCAGTGACGCCTGGAAGCAGTACATGAGAAGATCTACTTGGTAAGAGAAGGCTTTGGGGAAGCGGTTTGGCCTTATAAGCCTCTGGAACATGCTTCTACACATTTCTGCTTTCTGCTGTGTGTTCGTTTAATTTCTCTTCATTTTGTGTTTCTAACGTTCCACAGCTCTCCCCTCCCAGATCATCCACTTGGTACTATTATTTTCCTAACTGTCTTGGGCAAGTGCCCAGCGCCTGACTGTGGAACCAGTGGTTTCTCTAGGGACAGCACTGTAGCAGGATACTTGGTGTCAGCCAGCAGGATAAAGTGGAAGAGGCTGTCCTTTGAGTTTTTTCGTTGGGTGCAGTCAACCCACCCCTGCAGTCTATCAGGGTAGAAGGAATGGAGCTGGGCAGGCTGCCTGCAGGCCTGGCTAGTGAGTGGGGGGCGGATCCTGCTCTCTGGGAATAGCGAACATGAGCCTTGAAAGTAGAACAGCACGTTCACCCAGGACAAGGGTAGCTGGTGAGGGAACGTGTTGCTGGGAGATTTCGATTAAGACTTTTTACTTGTTTTCTATCTTCCCTCCCCTTTAAATAGAAATCGCTTTATCCAAGTGCAATAAGATGGTATGGAAGGCCCGTGTGGTGTTAGGTGTCAGAGGAGCACGGGTGAGGAGCCAGGACACTGTCTTGGTCTCATTTGCTGTTTCTTAACTGGCTCTAGAACCTGCCCAGGTGAGGAGCCAGGACACTGTCTTGGTCTCATTTGCTGTATCTTACTGGCTCTAGAACCTCAGGAGGAGCAGGTTGGGGGTTCTCCAGCAACTTCATGTAGGTCAGGAATTTTTTTTTTCCCCTCCAGCTTTTCTGAGGTATATTATTGACAAAATCACAATATATTTAAAAAGTATAACATGATGATTCACATATGCCTACATTGTGAAAAGATTCCCACAGTCAAGTTAGCACATCCTTAACCTCATCACAGCATTGTGTGTGTGCGCGCGCGCACGTGCATGCGTGCTTAAGATCTATTCTTAGCAAATTTTTGAAGGTATGTCAGGAGTTTCTGAGGTGCTTTGGCTATGGCTTGTTTAGACATACGCACACTCTTTGCCTGATTCCCTTTTGTTGAAGACAGTCTTGTTCCTTATATTTGTCTTGTGTACATGGGATCTAGGGGACCAAGCATGTATTAATAGCTGCGGCCTTTTTGGAACCCATTTAATGGGGACACTGTGTCAGGAGTAAAGCCAGATGGCTAAAAGGGAACCTTTTATTTTCTAAATTATTATAGTTCCTTATTCTATTTTTATCAAATGTGAATCCCTGTGTTTTTCCTACTAATTCACTGCACGTTATTGAGAGACATAAAGATGATGAAGTTATAGTCTCCATATTCTTTACACCCTGAAAACCACGACTAACACATATGCTCTGTGTCTGATTTTCAGACTTTTGTGTTTCTCCTTTTTTGGATCTATACTAACTTTTTTGTATACTAATTTTTTTTCACCAACTTATAACTTGAACATTTGCCCTTGTTAATATATGCAGATCAACTACATTTTTTTCATGGCATAAAATTTCCTCTATTACATGTGTACTATCCTTCATTTAATTTTGTTCATTTTTTACCCCCTTAGTACCATCAACTACAGTAAGGACCTTCCTCTGGCCCAAGGAATCAAGTTTCAGTAAAAAAAAAAAGTGCTTTAAATTGACATTTCAAGCTTTTTACGCATTGCTGTAACTCTTTCTTCTGAAGAAGACAAAGAAAATGAATGTTTGCCTTGAATAAATGCATCATTTTGAATATGACGGTGGTTAATCCCTTATGCTTCTGAGGCCTAAATCAAGAGACTCATTTTTTAAAAAATAAAACTTTTCATGACATCGTCTCAAGTAATAAAAAGTAATTTTTATGTTACTAGTAGTTACTGATTTTTTACATTTAGGATTATTTTTATAATTTAGAAAAAAAATAGTACATGTCATGGTGGGAATTTGGAAAAAATCTGAACATAATAGAGAAGAAAATAGAAGTCTGGTCAGTGGATGCAGGAACATCTCCTAAGCAAATAAATCAGTGGCGGGCTTGATCACATCACCCTCACACCCTGAAAAGGATGTGATTGAAGAGAGTGTCCCTTGTTTATGGAGGACCATAGCACAGTCATGCTTGTGGATCGACTTGCTGTTTAAGATGACTGAGGGCATTCATCACCATCACAGCTTCTCTCGCTCAGGATCACCTGTGTCACCACAGAAGCAATTTGCGAGACAGATGGGGATTTTGCCCCTGCCCCACCTAGAACCTGCACCTGTGGATGACTGGACTTCTATGCAAAGCACCTCTGGATTTCTTAGGCAACCTCAGACCATCCATTTTAGCTGTTAGGCTTCTGTAATTGCCTTTAGGTTTGTTCTTAGAGCATACCAAGTGTGTAGCAGCATGTGTTTGCAGTGACCTCGGCATAGTTCACTTTCTCTTTGCTGAGCATCTGCCTCCTTCTCTTGAGAATCTGCCCAGGAGCCCCTGGAGTGGTTCAGCCAAGGGCCCTTCCAAGCGCATACTGGCTCCTGCAGTCCCATCTTCCTGGCAGCCTTCGCCCCCCAATGGGTAGCAGCCACTCACCACCTTGACTCCCGCCAGACTGGACTGGGCAGAAGCCTTGGAAGAAGGTGATGTTTGTACAGGACCTGATGTGTCAGGGTGTACTGGAGAGATTTAGACAATGGGCAAAGAGTTTGGGGTTGAGTTATGACAGAGAAGCAAGCAAATGAAAAGACCAACCAATTATAAACTTGTCAGGGAAGGAACGGTATTCATAGCATGTTCCATGGCCCAGCTGTGACTAGTGTTCATCTAGGTAAAGCTGTGGTCAACCTTGAATATTGAGCCAAACATGGTGATAAACCTTTTGAGAGCATGTTGGCAGAAGTTCAGGGTTTGAGAGTAGGTTAGAAAGGCAGGCAGTTTATGTTCTGTGGTGGAGAATCAATAATGTCTAAAGTTACAGAACAGGAAATACCAATGTAGGCTTATAAAGATAGGAAATTGTGAAAAAAAATCTTTGCTTCAGGAGAAGGTAAATTGGTGGGGGGAAGGACATGGAGAAGGAGGCATTGCTGTTTCCCATAACAGGTCTTGTAGAGCTGTTTGTCTCTTTAAATCAAGAGGATGTATAACTTTGATTAAAGATGAAAGCCAATGAAAAAATGTTGGAGAATCAGGTGCTTGAAATCCTCCATTTCTTGATCCCGTTTCCACCACCCCCGCTCCCTAGCACACATACCTGCACACTTGTCTGTTTCCCATTATTGAACTAGGGACTCCTTTTAAACATCTCATGAAATGATTGTGCTGAAAGCCAAGTTTTCTTCCATGTTTTGAAGTTCAGAATAGACTAAATCACCTTGTATTGATATATACATTTTAATACAAGCCGATGCTTGAGAAAATTACTGTTTGGGCATTTGTTTTTTAAAAAAAACCTTGCCGTGGTTTTTTTCTTTGTAAGTTACAGTGCTAGGTCTTGTAGCCTTGACTATAGAATATAGTCTGAAGAAAATAAAGCACTATTTTAAAACATTTTTAGGAACCATGTAGTAACTGGCTGTTTACATTTTGTGGAATTATATGAATTTAATAGTGACTGAAATTTTTTTTTATGCCCAGTTTTTTTCCAAGCATTTTATTTTTTAACAAGTATTCTGAAACACAAACTGTTGGTGTTTTAATTTTTAAATTTTTACATTTATAATTTCTCTCCAGGTATTTAAGGAGGTTCTCCATCTTCCTGTGTATCTCCTGAAGCCATGCCGTGCTAGCCAATTTGAAATAATAATCTCCAATACACTGGTGAGAGGAGTACCAGGAGCTCTAATCTTAGGTTATAAAAGTCAAGTTAAACTGATTGCAAAATTTTCTTTGAAACTAATTCTGTTTTCTACATCTTTCTAGCAACAAGGACATTTTTTGCTGTGACATTTATTAAAAAATTTTGCCTGTAAATGGCCCTCTTTGTTTTATTACTGGTTTAGTAAAATTTACTCATATTTTTAGCCATAGAAGTTAAAATGTACATCTGTGTATGCATTATTTCTGTCCCTGTTTAAGGTGCTGGGAGTCCTAGGCCTGTGCTGCTGATTACTGGTTACTTACTTGTTACACTGAATCCCTTTGTGATTATCTGACCCTCCCTGAGTGCTGTGGCCATATTGCGAGAGTTCCTGCCTCCACAGTGGACCTGAGCAGCTGTGATTAGCATTTCCACTCTCCAGGACAGTAACCATTATAAACATTTTTAAAAAATATTACAAAAGTAACATAGTGCCTGTCATAGTGCTCTTACCATTAGAGCTCAGTAAATGTTTATTAGGGTGTGTTCTGTACTTTGCACTTAAATTTTTTTTAAATTTTTTTTTGCACTTAAAAATTTTTTTTTAATGTGTTTTCCTGAAAGAAATTTAGAAGCATTGGTTTTTGAAAAGTGAAGTTCTTTGAAATGTTTATTAGAATCGCAAATTTATAAGTAGGAAAGAACCAATTTATAGTACTCATTTAAAAAATCTATATGGTATCTGTTCAAATATTTATCATTCTTAGCCAAATTTATTCCTATATAATTTACGATTTTAGTTGTCAGTTGGATTTTTTCCTCTTTCCTTATGTGTAAATTGTTGCAGAGGCAGTTTTCCCTGGGTAGATTAGGTGTGAAAATAGGACAGATTCAGTAACTCCTCAGCGTTTGCGATGTGTTGGTCTTTTCACTGGCAATTCTAGGGTTTTCCATTAGAGAATTCTCGCCGGGAAATCAGGTATTATCAAATTGCCTTCACGGTGTTGTCCCGCAGGCGGCGCTGTTGATCAGAGCAAGAGCCTCAGTTTGGCAGGGGAGTGATTCTTGCGGACTCAGGTATCCAGGAAGTCACCGTGGAAAAGGGTTTGCGTTAAACTCAATGCCCGGCTTTTCTGAACTGCTTTTCATTCCAGCACCATTGGTTACCCGCCTTCCCTTCCTCCATCTGATAACTACACAGATCACCTTTGCTGCAGTTGATTATTGTGCTTAGGTAAAACATAAGGCCCGAAATGTCAGAGGAAAAACAATGGCTATAAATCACAGAATAGTGTCTTTTACATTAAAAAAGGATTCTTTTTCTTCCTCCTCCTGCTCCCCGTAGTGAGCATATGTGTGAGTTTACTCCATTTTTAACAACTCCAGGGGACATTGTGTTTTACTTAAACTGTGATCCAGGCACTTTTCAAAACACTTAAGTATAAACCCATTTAATTCTCTACAAATCTACAAATTAAGTATTACTACCCTCATTTTACTGATGAGGAAACAGGTACAGAGAGGGGGTAAACAACTTTCCCCAAGTCTCACTGCTGATAAATGATGGGACTGAAATTTGCACCAAAGCATTTTGGCCCCAAGAGTTATTGTCTGGTGACAGGAGGTTCAGCCCCTGAAACTGGAGCTCTAGCAATGCATCCTTCCCGGCCTGTTTCTCAGTCGCTAATCTTTTTTCTTTTGTAATGTTCTTTATTTTTTATATAATCATGAACTTAAAAGTGGAAGTAACTTTCCCCCCTCTAAACTGTGAGAGTGTGTTGTTGACCTGATACCACATCAACTCCAAGCACTTCAGCGTGTATTTCCCACAAACTACATTTTACTATGTAACCACATACAACTGATACGTTACTAATACTCTGATTCCATTCATCTTTTCATTTGAGCCAGTAGAGTCTTCTAGCAAAGGGAGTCATGTCATATATACTTAGTTTCCTTTCGTCTCTTGACATTTATGGCCTTGATACTTTGGAAACTGCAGACTTTGTAGGTAGACTTTGTACTTTGCAGGGTGACCTTCACCTTGGTGTTTCCTCATGATTAGGTTCGGGTTGTGTACCTTTAGCAGTTACAATTGCAGAAATGATGTCATGTTCCCCTGACTGCGTCCCATGAGGTGGTGCATGATTGCATTTTGTCTTATTGCCATTGATACCTTGACCAGAGTGGTGTCTACCAGCTTTTTTCATTGTGAACTATTTCTCATTTGTAAATTAAGGTCTTTTGTGGGGAGGTACTTTGAAACTACCTGTGTGTTCAGTTCTCCCTCAAACTTTCTTTTATCCGCTTAGCTGTCTCATCTGTTTTCCTATTTTATACATTAAGTTATAGTCCATTTGTTTTATTACTTCTTTGGATGTTCACAGTGTACCTTGATGTCCCTGATTTGGCCAGCAGAGTTCCCCTCGAGCTGGCTTCTGTGCCTTTTGAATGTGTCCTTGTTCTTCGGTTACTTCCTAGCTTTTTGAAACAAGATGTCCCAGGTTGTTCTTGTACTTAACCTACCCCAGTTCTGGTATCAGCTATTTCTCCCAGGACCTCTGATTCCTTTTAGTCGAGAACCATATTTAGGGGAATTCCCTGGTGGTTCAGTGGTTAGGACTCTGTTTCCACTGCAGCAGGCATAGGTTTGAACCCTGGTTAAGGAACTAGGACCTTATATGCCACTAAGCACAGCCAAAAAAATAGTAATGAATCATATTTGGAAGCCAAGATCTGGCATAGGTATGACCGGTGACATCATATCACAAGATATCACTGCTGCTAGGTCCTTAGAGAGGCTAGAGCTTGGAAATACATGTATAACCGACTCTTGAACGAGTTTGAACTGCGCTG